ATGTCGATGAGGAGGAGGAAGCTGTTAAAAATTTTCTTAGACACTTAAAAAATATTCTCTTCTTTGCTTGACGCAATGAAAAAGTGAAAAATAAGACACACATTCCAATCATCGTAATTCAGTCACACCATCGCTCATTCAGGTATTTTAAATGGTCACGAAAGATTAAAAAACGATTAAAAAATATCAAAGAGCATTTTAAAAGCGATTGTAATTCCACCTCATTTGTGAAAATGTTAGGGAATGAAGAAGGAAAATGAGTAAATAGTAGATATACCTTGAAGAAATTTTCTACAACAATTAAATGAATTTTCTTTTTTTAAAAGTGTGAATTTCAAATTAAGCACACTTATTTGTTAAAAATGAAGATTTTTGAAAATTTGACATACGTTATATTTATATTATGTTGCAAATGGCTTACCAGCTAACACAATATTTCAAACAAAGAAATAATGAATTGAAAGACAGATACCTATTAATCCATTGTACATATTTTCATGACGGTGTATTTATAAATTATTTGAGACATACAATGAAGAATGAAAAATTTAAATTTTTAGTCAAATGTCATGACATATCAACATGTTCAACGGGTTTACTGCTAGCTCACTCGATGCCTGTGCATGGTGTACATTTCAAAACAAACATCAAACTCATTCTCTTTATGTCTCGAAGATGCACATTTTGCAAGAAAGAAAATCTCTTTTTTTCGTATCTGACAGGTGTATGAATTAAAAGTACATCATCAAGCCGTAGACGTGTTGCTGCACACTTCTTGGTGATGCAAAAATGAAATGAAATTAATTGTAAGTAAGCGAAAAAATGTAAATATTTAATGGATTGTGCTTGTACGTGCTAAACGTGTTTAAGATATTTTATTCATTACTTATTTCCGACATCTCGTAGAAAAAAAAACGGGTAGCATCTTTCATTCGCTAGGTATATACTTCACACATGCTCTACTATAAATAGATCATGTTTTGTTAATTAATTGAAATCAATTTCCTGTTGACTCGACTGAGGTAAATATTCTCCGCTGCTCAATTTACAAATAAAATTATTTTTTTCTTTCATTTCTCACATTTCACATTTTTTCACGAAGACAGTTTTCCTCATTTGTCTGTCACTTGCGAGCAATTTTGTTAATCTTTGTGTGACTCCTGATTCATTTTAAACTGCTTAAACCGTATTCTAGTATTCCATATAATTTTGGCATTCACTCTTCCTACCTTAGTGTCACTTGTGTAGCTTTCATTTAACTCAAGCTTGTCGAATTTATTCACGATCAGGAGATTAGTGTCACACCTTCTTCCGAAAGTCTTGATCATCATAATTGAATAAAAAAATTCAAATGCGCATTTCCACCTTACCTCATATTTCCATTTGATTTCTCGAAATGCAGCGAGTATTTAAGAACCAAACCCTTTCATGTTTTCTCATGAATCTCTGTGAAAAATTCTTGGAAATTTAAATTGAGCATCGTTGAGGAAGCAAGCAAGAAAGAGAAAGAAAAAAATATTGTTTTGGAAAATGATGAAAGGTATATGTTGCATTCTCTAGTGATACTTAGTATTTCTCTTTTTCGACAGAAATGTTAAAATCAATATGAGGAACTTTGTTAAAATAAAAATAAATCCCCTCGGATTATTTTGTTGATTAATTTCTCATTTGTTGAACGTTGAAAATTTTTTCTTTGCTTAAAAGTAAGTCTCCTGACTTAATTGATTTATGATGCATCTTGTAGAGGAAGGTGTCAGATTGTAAATTTGTGTCAAAGAAATTTTCAGATGTGTAAAAAATCAACTAGAAGGATATAGAAAATTTATAGCACCTAACGAGGATGTTGTCTGTTAGAGATTTTAAATGCCTCAACATTAAACTTAGTGATTAAATTATGTTGACCATTTATTATTAGACTTTAATAAATTTTAATGACTTTGACGGAATTTTATCATATATTTTGTGTCACTTTTGAATATCATAACGACTCACATCCGACTTTATCATATTCTTAAGAAATAATAGCTTAAAGAATGAGACAAACAACTATAAAAAATTCACAATCAAATTCTTAAATGCATAAATTAAGTTTCGTATAAAATAAAAATCCCCAAATAATTAAACATTTCAAACAAAATCATTTAAAAAGAAAAGGAAAATGTGTATCAAAAATTTGTCATATCCATAAACACGACTTGAAGCATAAAAAAATAATAAATAGTCGGTAAACTTTGCAGGAGAGAAATGAAAGAAGAAAAACTAAAAATAACAAAAAAATTTACATTCAAGTTCACACATCCACATTACAAACGAGAGAAAATATTCGGCAGTAAAAGTCCATTGACATTTACACTCATCACATGTCAGTTGGAAATTGCAACAATTATGAAAAGTCGTGCTTTTCCATCAATTTTTCGTTCTCTTCATCCACTTTGATCTTCACTTTGTTATAAAAATGAAAATTGAGATGAAGTAACGTGTGATTTGTGTGATATGTTAAAAACTCAAAATGTACGTTTATAATGGCATCGTAAAGGAACTTCCTGCAAAATGCATAAGGCGCATTTGACTGGCACACATTGAAATTGATTAAAGATTTTTCATATTACAGTCAATCTAGCAGCACCTTTTTTGAAATGAAAGATGTGACATGAAAATGGTCAGTAAGCATATGCTGCTTGTTTCCAAGTATATTATCCACTAGCCTGCCTAAATGCCCTATTTATTATTTGACTCTCGAGTACAGAACGATTCAGATATCACAATTTCAAGATCAAATCTATTTCAACGACCCAAAATGATTAATACAGCACACAAATTTAAATTAAAAGTATCACAAAAAAATGAAAGAGCAAGAAAAAAGTACACAACTTCCTGTTCATGAAAATAAACAAACTTAAATAGCAGTTAAGAGAGAAGGAGAGAAGAAAATTTTCTAAATCGATAGTTGAAGATGAATGATATGATTACCTCGACGAAGCATAAATATTCATTTCTTTCTTCATCTATTTATTATACCTCATTTCCTTCACATCTCCGTGCTTTAGCGGTCTTTTTCAACAGACAGTTTATTTTAGTGTTTACATTTTGTTCATTTTTCAGGCTGAAAAAACTGAAAATGCTGTTTTTTAAATTCATTCGTATCTTTTAAGCATGTTTAATATTGAAAAACTTGAAATCTGGATATTTTTTGATTTATCATTGACATTGATTTTTTCGAAGAAGCACCTGGAGTAAATAATCTTAATGCGTTTACAAGACAATTTTAAGTAGATTTTAAACTTTTTCAATTGAAAAGAAATTTCCCTCATAAAATATAAACGAATATAACGTGTATACATATATTTTGAAGATATAAAGAAGAAAAATCGTCAGAGGGGGGAACGAGAGTATCTTATAATTGTAGCTATAACATATCTCATTCATATACCTACGTGCGTCGTCATTCTCATTCGTAAAATGCCCGGCTTTTTACTTCTTCTTATTATTCTAATATTTATCTTAACAAATAATAATAATAAATGAGATAAAGCTATAAGCGCATATGTTTGACATCAAGATCTTCATCCTTCTTCTTCTTATTCTTTTTTTTTATCTATTTCCCTAGTAACCAAAAGGTAGATCAATGTATTCCATGAGAATCTTCCATGGATGATACATATGTATTATCCATGTATTATCCATCGGAAGATGATGTCCTATGAAAATGGAAGATAAATGGACAATGCAATAAGACATCAATGTAATACATCAAAGGAATACAAATGGAAAACAAATGGATTACTTTTTTTTGAATAAAACACGTGTTAAATTCCACGTGTTATTTTGTATTTTTCATTTATTTGTGTAATTTTTTGTAAAAGTATTAGTGTGTACTTAATTAAAGTACACTAACACTACGAAAAAGAACAAAAGGACTTAATTTAATTAAGTCGCATACTGATGAACGACCAAGACTCGCACATAAACCTGAGGAAGATAAATAATTAATTGAAAGCCCCATACAAATTTAGAGAGAACTTATAATAGTGATTTCTTCGAGCAATTGTGAAGTATATGGCAAATGCCAAATTTAGAACAAATATTATTTCCTGCAAAAAAATATTTTTTTGATGATATTTCATAGGATTTGATCCTAAGCAGGCTCGGGTAATACTTCGATGGAACACTTCTGTTACATATTTGTAAAACAAATATTTTCCATATAATAAATAATGATACATTTGATCTTCCATCGACGTCGAAGGAAGATTATATGGAACATTTTGGTTACTAGGGTTAGTGAAGATAAAGATAAAAAAAAGTTCTCGAAAACATAAAATGAAAAAATAATGTGCGTGTGTATTAATTTTAAAATACGACCTAAACCAAACACCTGTTAAATCTTCGTATTTTCTTAAAAACTAATAATCATCAGTCAGAGCTATTTTTCTTCATCTTCATCATGCATTCATTAATGCTGTTCATCGTCAACCGCGACTGTGTGTGAGGGAGAAAAAATTAAGAATTATTAATAAAGCAAACATAAAACTAATCGGCTTGTTTCACTAAAGTGGATTATCCTCGATTTCGGATTATCCACTTCAGTTTTTTGTAAATATCTTACACTTTATGGGAGGTGTGGTATTTATAATTTTGGATTATAATAGAGTGAAGTATGCCTGAAATTTCTGTATACTTTAAACTTTTACTTTTCGTTAAGAAGTATTCATTATTCAATTTTCTAGCCAAATCTAGTAGATTATCTTGGATCTTTGCTATAATTCTCAAACTAGTGAAGATATAAAAATTCTAAGTTTATGTTAATTTAAGTAGCAAAATACTCTAACTAGATCACACAAAAGATCTCTTAATAACCTTAAGCGTCTGGAGATATTTCCAAAAAACTGAAGTGGATAATCTTAAATCGAGGATAATCCACTTTAGTGAAACAGGCCGAATATGTTAATTGTTAATCATGACTAATTAATATCAATTGTTGTTATTATTTTTTTTTTCAGTTGCACCAATGGCAACGGGAATGCTTTCAAATAGAAATGAGGATGAATCATCGCAACAAACGAATAGCAACAGTAGCGAATTTATGAATTGTCCTCAATGTCAACTTGAATTTAATAGTCCCCAAGTATGTCAACATGTTAATTATTTTAATTATGTTCTCTCGTTTCAAATTATTTTCTGTGAACTTTTCTATTTTTTTTCATGTAAATTATTGTTGTAAATTCAATGGCTAATTACCGATTTTCTTTGATTTTGAAATGAACGGATATCTTATGCTAATTTTTAACTGTAATGTAAAATCAAATAAAACCTTGATTGTGCAATAATTTGTTTAAATCAACTAATTCAAATCAAGCATGACTAATTGACATTTTATTTCATTTCAATAGGCATTTAAAGAGCACATAATGCAAGTACATCACCTATCACCATCAATGACGCAACAGCATTTCTCATCACCCCCACCATCGATGATTTCACCTGCAAATTTATATACAGGTGATGAAGGTGGGCGTCTATCTCATAGTCCAAATCAATTAAATGCTCACGCATGCTCTCACAACCATTGCTCCGCCTCATTTCCAACAATTGATTTACTTGAGAAACATGAAATCATAAATCATTCATCAGGTGCATCGAGTGTGGTATGTACAAGTTTATAGTTTATGGAACAAAAAAATTATTAATTATATTTCTTCTCTCTGTTCGTCATTCCTCCCTTTCGATAAATAAACATTCCTTTATGAGCTAAATTAATTTTAATTAAAATTTTTTTTATGTTGCACATTTTTTTCACTTCTTTTAATCCTCAATTTTCTCTCATCATGACTACTCGACTGTCGTTTATGAATTAACAACAATTTATAATCGAGAGATCGTTTAATGTGCGATATGTTAAATAATTGAAGAATGGCAAAACATTAACGACCGTCTCTTCTCGACACATAATTTTCTTTATTCTCATATGAGTGGAATGGCATTTAATTATGGTTCTGAAAACGAGTGAAAAGTGTTAAGCAAATGAAGGACTTAAGCGCCTTTTGTGGGATTACTTACTGTCTATTCATCAATTAACCAGGCAGACTGCATACAAAATTTGACTAATTCCAATGATTTGCCAACTTCATGTTTAAAAATATTATATGTTGATCAAAAAACTACACATATGAGTATTTATGTAGCAGTAAGTTAGTTGATTGTATAATAAAACGAACAAAAGAGAAGCGGTAAAGTAAATTAACAAAAAAAAAGTCTCTGAATATGTTTCATCTTTTTTTCATAACATCATGATTATTTGTTCTTCAATTGTTCATATATTCTCATCTTTCGTTGCCTTTCCAGTGACGTTGAATGTGCAAAAAAGCATAAATAAAAAGTTTCAGTTAATGCACGACAATGCCAAAAAATTCTTAGAAATCTTATTATTTTAAGTTAAATTGACTTTGACTGTGCACAAGATTTTCATTTTTTATTTCTACTTCATTCCTCTTCTTTTCTTAGTTTTTTTAATTAAAAAATGAGCGAAGATGAAACAATCAAGCTTATTATAATTACAGTTTGAGATTTGTTTAACATGAGTTTCATAATTTATACATGATGCACATATAAACTTGAGAGTTTAGCATTCGAACAATTTAAAATTGATACTTACGAATTGATACTTTTTGATCTGGTATGTTTGGATTAATGCAATTCGATATTAGCATAGAGGCTAGCGAGGTAAATGACTAATAACATTAAATAATCCTAAAGCTTGCAATATTTTCAAACTAAGGTTGTAGCAATCTACAAGAACAGCAACACCATGATTAAAATTATCAGTGTAGAGGCGTAGAATGTTAAAATTCAATACAAGCAATATTATGTTATGCATGACTTATGCTATCACCCATCGCGAACATGCAAAGCTATTTAGTTTCTATACGCATATTAAATTTCCATCATTAATAGCTCTAATCGCCATGCTTCTATTTTTCCTCAATCGTTTTGTATTTTATTTTTAAAACATACTTTACTTCCATCGACTGTTGCACGAGGAAAATTGAATCATTATGAAGATTACATAGGAAAAAAAATATTTTTGCTGAAAAATTTACCTTGACAGACATTAAATACCAAATAGTCATTTAAAGTTATTAATGTTAAGGAAATTTTTCATTCTGAATGTCATACACGAAAATACACTTTTCTCTTATTTTTCTTATTCTTTATTTTTTGTATATACAATTTTTGGTGTCACCCGCCATCAAAAGGTACTACAATAAAATATTACAAAGTCTTGCCAGGATTGACACACAAAATTGAGTTTTACGGAAGGGCTGTCCTAATTTGTAAGAAGTGACTTGATGTATGACTGTTCATATTTAAGGTGATGGGTAATCAAACTTGAAAAATTGTTTGTAGATTCCAATCACAAGTATTATATGTCATGATTACACCATTTCCGATATACTCTCTCATAAAATTAGTCCAAGTCCCAAAAAAATTAATACAGTTTATGTCTATTTTCTCACATCAATCAGCAACGCGTGTAACACACAAATTATTTAAAATATTTCATAGTGGACATTCAAGGTGAGCACGTAGATGTCTACAGAAATGTCTTTAACATATGTCAATGTCTCGAATAAAATGCCGAAAAATTATGAAGATGACTTTTTAACCATCACAATTATGAAAATGTTTTGACAAAAAGAGATCAGGAAAGGAACAGTCGTGAAATGACATGTTGATTTTTATATTCATAACTTATGTGTGCAAACAAGAAAGAATTTTTTTTTTCATCTTTTCTCTGGCTCATCAAAAGACGCGCGCTGCTCACATTTATAAACGATATACAATAGTGGAAATGAACGTGTGAGGTCTTTAATTACCGATTTGTAGTCCCGTAATTTCATAATTTGTTTCTACTGCTCATTTCTCACACAAAAAGATTTTCTTTGCTTTTTTATTTGAGTCTAATAGCACGAGAGTTAATTGAGAAATAATTGATTTACAGGAACGAAAAGAAAAATCTTTTATACTTAGCATTGTTTTATAGAAAATGTGTGAATGATTAGAAGTCGCTTACCTGATTGATGATGGGTTCCTATGTAGGTTACCTGATTGCTCTTAATATATTTCTTGAAATTTTTTTAAGAACATGGCATTTAATACTTAATTAGTTGTTTATATACCCTGTTTTTTCGTTATAAGCTAGTAGCTTAGAAGAATAAAAAAGTGATTTTTTTGGCTCACTAGTAGCTTAGTAACGAGTAGTAGCTTAAGAAAGAAATTGAACTTCAATGAAAATTTTGAATTTTTTAACTTAATTAAAGAAATTTTGCTATCTTCTCGATTTTATTTCATTGAAAATGTCATAAGGCATTGAAACTGATACTTAGAAAGTTGAAAAAGATTAATTATACTTTATTTTTGGTAGTACCTTAGTAAAGATTACAATAAAATTTCAAGTTCAAAAAAACTTTACTAAGCTAGTAGCTTAGTAACGAGTAGTAGCTTATAACGAAAAAACAGGGTACTTGCTTTATTTAAACATCAGGAACGATAAAATGCGTTTTTGCCACCTCATTCCAAACCATAATTTTTAAAGATTTTCTTTTTCCTAAAGAAATTTTTTTCATTCATTTCTTTTCTAAAATAGAATTGAACAACAGAAACAAAAGAAAGGCAAATTGATGAGTAAGAAAAAGAAATGAAGGAATTTTTCTTCTTGTCGGAAATCCGATCGGAATGTATTTTTATTCTTCTTCAATAATGCAGTAGGATTCTGTAGGACTGTTGCTTATACATGCACCAGTTGAGAATCTGAATTAATTAATACTGCATAAGAGATGAAATATCTATTTGAAATTAATCGATTACGTTTATTATACTCTTAATTTTATTTGCTAATTAATGAGAAGAAATTCTTGTGAAGTGAGTTATGAGGTAAATTAATTATAAACCTATTGGATGCATATATGAGAACTTAGTTTATTCTTAAAGTTCAGATAGCTACTGCAAGTATTAGAAATTTTTTTTAAAGTTTTGAAACCATGAACAGCATTACTAAGAGGAAACAATGCTTATCAGAACTTTATATTGCAATAGAGTTACAAAAATAAACATTTTCTGCCTTTTTAAAGTATTTCTGATATAAATTTGATTGAAATGCATAAAATTTATTGATCTTGAAGTATTTGATAAAATGACTCAAATCAATTTTGATTATCTGGATATTATTTTGCTTAAAAGTAGTTTGCCTTTATATTAGGATGTTTATAATATGAAAATTCCAGTTAAAAACTTTTTCAGTCACTTAACTTACGAAAAACTTGAAAATTAGGAATTTATTTCTCAAGTTCCTCAAAATGGATCTTCAAAAACTCAACTACTTGAAAAAATATTTCATGGAACTAAATTAATCATTAGCAAGCCACAATAATATGGAAATTTAAAGGAAAAAGAATCTTACCTTATCATCCATTCATCCAAAATTAAAAAAATTATAAAATAAAACATGGTCATTCATTCCGTTCCACTTTTTGAGGTCTTATCGCAAGGCACTCATTCATAAAAAAAATTAAATTATTACCAGCAGTTTCCTCTCGCTTTTGGTGTTGTTCAATCTGTGTGTATATAAATATAAATGAGAAAAGAGTAGACACACTTGTACATTATTGACGTACATACATGTATATTCACATATGCTTGTTTATGAGAGTCTGGTTAGCTTTTTAGATAAGCAAAAATTCAACCTCAATTTCCTATACACGTAAAAATGATTTTTTTTCCTCAAAATTTAAATTTATATAATTTTTTTTCCCGTTCATACAATGTTGAAATGTTCACGGAAAAGAATCAGAAGGAAAAAAATTGAAATAAATTAAATACTTTGAAAAAGAAGAAACAAATTTATGTGAGATTTCCATTCACCAACTTATTTCCGTTTAGCTCGCTTGTCTTTATTGACAAAAATATTATAGATTTAAATCATGCATCGCTTGAACTTGTTCCATTAAATTCACGAAGAGTTGAAAATGACAATTTACTCTTAAAGATTCATAGCTCCTGATTTAATTGGTCATTTTCAAACAAGAGTCATAAAATAGAACTTTGAGGCTCCTTTTAAATATTGGTCGTCTTTAGTGAACATTTTTTAACATTATTTTAATTTCACCTACGAAAAAATTCACAAAAGTAAAATTCATCGATTAGTTAAAAGCAATAAATCGCTTCCTATTCATTCGTTCAAAAACACAACACCAAAATTAAACTTGTTTTTTCTTCTCATGGAACGCCTTCCAATGAATCGCGAATAAAAACCGAAAAATATACACAACATGTGCACAGCAGAAAGTAAAAAAATCTTTTTGGAATTCTGAAGCCTTAAATTTCAGACATTACTTAATGTTCTAAATAAAGATCGACCTGCAAATGTTGCTTTGCCTTTTGAGAATTTTCAATTATTACAAGCAAATGGCAAGCTGACATTTTCAAGGTTTCTATACTCCAGTTTTTGATTGTTTTATGAACATATCCACTTCTGTTTTGATGTTTTTCGGAGTTTAAAAATGGACGAATGTGAATGATATCATCGCCATCGTCATCATTTATTATTGTTTTGCGTTCTTAATTTTTGTAGATTTTTGTATGCTCGCTTACTCCACACTGTTGTATCTCAGTTCCAAATTCAATAAATTATTGTACAAAAAGAAAGAAATGGACTTCTATAGTGATTTAACTTTTCAAAATATCTCATATTTCATCCAAGATCCAAAAGTGCCTTTAATTTATTTTCTACGAATTTTTTGCTTTAGAAAGCTTTACATCGATTAATGAATTGCTCAATATTACTTGAGTAGAGGATTCTATCAACTTTATGGAATCTTCTTGTTCTATTTCATTTTAGTTTTGATTTTTGTGGTAAATGAGTTTAGATCAATAGAGCGTCAACATGTTTGACTAATTCACTGTAAATTAGAAAGTAACATGGATGAAATTGACTTGACGTAAAAAATCAAGATGCACAGTTTACAAGATCGTAGTTTTTTCGAGGATATTAAATGAATGAAACAGATTGATGGCAGTAAGGAAATTTATTGGGCATGTAATATTCAGTGTAGTTTAGCAAATATGGATTAATCACGTTTTTGAGCGCTTGATGTCATCATTTAAATACACAAATCTTTTGAATTTCAATAATATTTTTATCACAAAATGCGTCTTTGCCTTGAGTTTCATTAATAATGCCTTAAACTTTCTATCTTCATAGCGAGAAATAAAAGTAATGAAGTAGAAATATTTATGCTGTCAACATCAACTAAATATGAATTAACATGAACAATTTTTACATCTTCATTTTTCATATGAAACTACAGACTTTAGTGACACCTCTAATAAATCTCCCGTAACAAATAACTAATGATCAATACCTAAAGCAATTTTCGGATCACAAACATCACAACATTCATCCATAATTTACTGAGGAAAGTGACAGATTCTTTTTAATATTTTTGTTTTCTATACATTTAATTTTCTTCCCGTCTTTTTTTTCTGTAAAAACAGTTGTGATGAACACCTTTATTTATAGCACATTTTATGTATATTTCTTTACATTGCCGTACGACCTCAGATTCCTTTCTTCTCGACGCTAGTAAAATTTCTTTTCTTTTACTTTTCTACTTTCATTCTTAAAAAAGCGCTTATCACGTGAACAACAAAGTTTATAAAGTCACTAAAGTATCTACAATTGAGACTATGAAGCGAATCTTTGAAGCTATACATGAGTAATCTTAAATAATAAGAATTGAGGAAAATCATTTGCTAGAAACTCACTTTATGAAGTTATTAAAAATTTGTAGTCAAATCATATAATTAAACATAGTCAAAACAAGCACAATAGCTCATGAAATGCACAAAACTGCTCTAAAAAGTGAGAAAAGTAATTTGAAGATTTATTATTCAATAAAAAATCATACTAATGGCAACTCATGACAAATTTAATGACACTTGTTTGTTGATACGTGTGTTTCATGTTATATGATGATCCATGCGTTTTGTCCTCCTTCTTTCATATGTGCACACACATCACCTTTCAGTAATCAATCAAGTTATTACGCTCGATCGCGAAGATTTTTGCTGTGCGGCGCTTGAAAAAAAATTATCTCAAATTTTTCTTTAAAATTTATTTCTGGCATTGATGTTGAATTTGGCAAGTAGTAAAGTAACTTCTAATAATTGAGGTAAAAGGTTCCGTCAAAATATACGAATAGTAATTAAGTTAAGTTTAATGTCTCCGGTTCTTTTTTTTGCACGGAGGCAAGAAATCATAAAAAAAAGTCTTTTATAAATAATCATCAGAAATTGTGAAAATTTATTTGTAAAATATTTTCAAGAATCTGTTTATTCAATTTTATTAAGAATGTAGGGGAAAAATACGATCAGGACAGGTGTTTGGCGTTTATACGGTAATATTTCTTTTATGAAATAAATGCAAGATCTACATTTATACTTTCCTCTATACCTATATAAATTCGTGTGGAAAGGTGAAAATTTTCCGTGATTCACTTGACGTGTTTTATGTGCTTAGGAGTTGCTAAGTCAATTCTCACATTTTAAATATTTTTTTTTCTCTTTTTCCCATGATTGTGTCCCACATTTTTCAGCACATCATTAGATGATGGCTTTTTGTGATTTTTTAGTAACAAATGTAAAAATTTTATTACCTCAAATTATTCGAGATGAAATTTTTGTAAATAGATTAAGATTAAGAGGTCCTCTGAGGTTGTTTTCGAGAAAACTCAGGTATTTGACAATAAATTACTTGAAGATTTCGTACTTTTTAAATTTAAGTTGTTTTCAAAACAGATTTAATTATTTATTTTCACAATGATGAAAATTCACCTAATGCTGTTTTCTTATTAGGTCCGTAAAGCCTAATTCATAAACATAAAATATTTAATTTTTTGTTCTTACTCAAAAAGTTTTCCCAGCAACACATACAATAAATCTAATTTGAGATTAAGAAGAAGATTAGCTCAACTTCTACACGTGATTTATATAAACTTGATTAAAAGTTTCTCTTGAATTGATTGCGATATTAATCATTATACGCACATAGCAACTTTCAAGGATTATTAATGGACTTAAAGCCGAAGATTTTGATACAAAATTAAAATTATTACTCAAAACACAAAAAAGCTATTCGATTAGACATAAATTATATTGAGAATGAGTAGTTTTATATCAGTTCATTCATTAATGGAGCTCTGGATTTAAACAAGAATTTTACATACTTTTTTGATGGCAATTGAACTTGAATCCCCAAAGTTATTTCAACTTTGAGAGCTTATTACACTTTCAAGCTTGTATTCAGCAGTTTTGAAACAAAATTTAAAAGTAAAAGAGTCTAAAATGAGCAGTCTACATTTCTCTTAGGAGTATGTCAATAGAACAATTTTTCACCACGAATAAATGATGACAATTGGTTACTTTTTCAACAATCCCCGTAGACAAATTCATTATCGACTGTCAAATGTAAGAAAATTTGCCAAAAAAAATAAAATAAAAATCACGAAAGTGTATGAAAGTAAAATAAAATTAAGTTTCTTTTCAATTGTTATCACAACTACAAATCTATTTAAAATATATAATTTTGTACATTTAAACTGCAATTTCTCTCTCGCGCGCACATTTTCTATTTGCACTTATCTCGGTATTCTGATTTTATTGAGTAGAAAATGAAGAAAATCGAGAGAAAGAAAAGAAGAAAGTTTGTAACAAATATTTCAAATATTTTACAAGCGCCGACAACACAAATAACTGATTATTTCGTATCTGAACATTCTATTCCACATTTCAATGTTAATTTAACAAATTTGAAATGAAATTTATTTTCACTTTAAATTTCGCATTCACTTCACGTATCAGGCACGTCTCTCAAATTGAGAAAATAAAATGTTCATCAATCAGCCTTCCTTATTACTAAAATGAACCGAAAATTCTCGCTTAACCGTGTCTCGTTAATGTAATTAAGCAGAGATCGAAGCCGATTTTTTCGGCTTAACTCAACTTTTGATTTTTTTGATAGAAAAAAGCTATTTAACACACATTTCAAGTATTTATATTGGACTTTACATGCTTTACTATGATTTTGTGTAATATTTTGTCAGCATGTAGCTATAGTAAGCTCACAATTTCAAGTTAAACGATTTTAAGCCGAAATTTAAGCCGATCGGCTTAAAATCGGCTAAATTGAAATTCTGAGCTTACTATAGCTACATGCTGACAAAATATTACACAGAATCATAGTAAAGCATATAAAGTTCAATTTAAATACTTAAAATGGTAGTTAAATGGCTCTTTTCTATCAAAAAAATCAAAAATTGAGTTAAGCCGAAAAAATCGGCTTCGATCTCTGTAATTAAGCGAATAATTTACGTCGCACATACCGTAATGCATCTTATGAAGGATATTTTGCAGGTTTTACTATTATTCTCATTTCGGATGGCATGTTTAAAATTTGAAAGCTTTAAAATTGTGTCCATATAATGCGTTTTTATTCACTAGCTTCCTCAAAATGCAATTTACATTTTAAAGAAAAAATTGTAAAACCAAAAGTGAGGAAGAAAATTTAACGTTTGAAGTTTTTTAATTGCTTCACATCAACACTTGTTTTTTATGAGATTTGCAAGTCAGTTGGGAAATTAAATCCCCTCGTCATTTATTTCTCATATGTTAATTGGTCATCGCACATTAATCGATTAAAGGAAGAACGAAAAAAAAAATGACAGAGAGAAGATTTTTCAAAAACTTTTTCTAAATGCATTTTTAATTGAAAATATCATTCATTTTCACACAAAATTATCTTTGTATTTTCAGTGCTGTCGATTGTGTCAGAAAACATTCGCAAATGTATATCGTTTGCAGCGACATATGATTTCACATGATGAATCAGCTTTATTGAGAAAATTTAAATGCTCAGAATGCGATAAGGCATTCAAATTCAAACATCACTTGAAGGTATGTGTGCTTTAACAAGCATCAATTTACACCCAATTATAACTTTATTCTTTGTTTCTCTTTTCATGCTTTATTTTCTTAGGAACATTTACGAATACATTCAGGTAAGCTCACTGAAAACAGAAGTCTTTAGAATTTTATTAAAATAACATAATTTTTCCGTTTCTTAACTTAGGTGAAAAGCCATTCCAATGCACAAATTGTGGTAAGAGATTCAGTCATTCCGGCTCCTATTCCAGTCACATGACGTCAAAGAAATGTATTAGCATGGGATTAAAGATGAATGGTATGAGTGGAGCGAATCCACTAATGAATGGCAATATGAGTAATGTGAATCAAATGAATGGGCATAAAATGAAATCAGAGAAGAAACAACAAGGAGCATCAGCGATGGGACAAAATTTCATGAATCAATCGATGGCGGCTGTAGAAAATTTCATGAAAAATAATGGAGTTCTTTCGAATCCAAATTTATTCCTTCCAATGATTCCAAATCTTCATGATATAAGAAAGTATGAGAATTACGGTGTTATGAATGCTGCTTTATTTGCATCACTCTCAAATCCATTATATCAAATGAACTTAAATCCATACCACATTCAAAATTTATTAAAACTTTCTGGCGTTCCAAACTTAAATCTACCTATGGACGATGAATCACAAAAAGCATTAGATGATGAGCAGAAGAGCCCAAATGATCATCATTCGAATCCCGAGGACTTAATTGAAGAAGTAAATGAGAATGAAGAATCAAAATTAGTTATGGATATTGATTATGATGAAAAACCATTGAAAAACCGCGAGGACAATAATAATGATGATAGAAACGATAGTGATGATGATGAGCTAATGTCTAACATTGAGCACCATGATTTATCACCGCAACATGATTCACATGAAAAATCTCCATCGCCTTTATCAAGCTCAATCAAACAGGAGCACAATGAAGATGAATCACAAAATGATTCGCTTAGATGTCAACATTGTGATAAAGTTTTTAATCATCCAGCTGAGCACTTACAACATGAGACAGTCCTGTGTAGTTCATTAATGATGAAGAAACATGAGGGTCTTATGATGCATATGGTTGATGCAATGAACAATTCAAATTCTAATATGAATATGAATGAAGATGACACTGACGATCGTGAATCAAAAATTTCAACAGAATCGGAGCGAAAGGTTCGTGTTAGAACTGCAATATCCGAGGACCAGCAGACGATATTGAAGGAATTTTATGCAATTAATCCACGTCCTAATCGTGAAGATTTTCGCAATATTGCTCAACGTTTAATGCTCGATGCACGCGTTGTTCAAGTGTGGTTCCAAAATAATCGATCACGTGAGCGAAAACAGAATGGAAATGGACAAAATTTTAAGCAAGAGAATAATGTGTCGTCAATAATGTCGGGTAATAGCAGTAGTAATGAAGAGCAGCCATTGGATTTGTCAATAAAGCGAGAGATGATGACAGATACTCCAACAACATCACCACGATATGGAGTCGTTCCAATGCAACAAAGCAATGATACTGGTGCTATAAATTTAAGTCGCAAGATGACACCATTCTCGCCAATTTTTCAACCAAACTTTAATACTGACTTTTTGACACGTCAAATCCCTTCACCGAATGAAGCAGTATCACATCTTCCAACAGCAGCTGCACGTAATGGAATGGCCTACAACTTACCATTGGGATTACCACTCGAACGATTGCTTCATTTTACACCAGAAATGGCACGAAATCCACTTCTAATGATGAAATCAGATCCTCGTAGTCCTGCAAATAGTCTTAGTCCTGGTAGTTCAGAAAAGCGTTCATGGAAAGATGACGAAAGTCGATCATTTGATGAATTAACAAGTCTTCAGCAAGCACAGCCTTATCATCCACAGCGTCGAATGCCAAAGATGAAATCGGAAATTCCACCTGATTCGAGTGAATTTCAGTTTGTTTGTGACCTCTGCGATAAGGCATTCAGGAAACAAAGTTCATTGGCGCGTCACAAATACGAACATTCCGGTGAGCTATTTTCTTCGTCTTATTGATTAAAAAAAATTTCAAAATTAGACACACAAAAAAATATTAAAATTATAATTATCTCTCATGTAGGTCAACGCCCATTTAAATGTGTTGAGTGTCCAAAAGCATTTAAGCACCGTCATCATCTGGTTAGTACAAAATATATTTTTTTTTGTCTAAGTGATAAGATTAATCATTATTGTGTATTTATTTTTTCCTTTCATGTATTTCAACCATTAGACGGAACATAAACGGTTGCATTCGGGTAAGTTATTTTAATTAATGTAGATCAATGATTTGAAGTTTGCAAAATTGCAAAAAAAAGTTGTGTTAATTAAAAAAGCTAATTTATTTTTTCATATTATTTTCTCTTTCTGTAGGTGAGAAGCCATTCCAGTGCAGTAAGTGTCTCAAACGATTCTCACATAGTGGATCATACAGTCAGCATATGAATCATAGGTACAGTTACTGTAAGCCATACCGAGATTAGTTGATGATGACTCGCTGGCAAAAGCATTATGACCAGCAAAAGTTTGCTCACATAATGACACCATTTTGAAATTAATTGTAAAAGACAAATAAGGAAATATTTTTGATTAAATTTTGAAGCTGATTCGTTATTATAACTCTCTAAAATGAAATCCTTGCAGAACTTATGGTCGATGAATAAACTTAAAGTCGACTTATTTTGTTCATAAAACAGGGAAACTCGTTCTTAATCTCCCAGTTATTAAAAGGCGGAAATCTGCAAATTTCGTACTTAAAACAAATGAAAGAGAAATTTAAGTACCAGTTAAACTTAAAACTTTACCGTAAAAAAAACTCACAGTCTCTAAGTATTTTTCAAATTCACAATTTAATGAGTCATTTTACATTCCCATGTCAAATAATAATAAAAAAAGGAAAGAAGCATAAATTCACACAATACTATATATAGCATATGAAAACACATTATAGACATTATAGATGCGAATTATTTGGAAATAATAATATGCAACAAGTCTACATTCATAATATTCATCATATAAATCAAGATTATGGCATAAAACATACTTTAAATTAAATTATTTCCAAATAATAATAGTTATAGTCATAATTATGCTGTAAATAAGGAAAATAATTTAATTAAGGAATGCAATTAACGAAAAACAAAAAAAAACTTTATCTCTCGTTCTTCTTTTTCGCACATTAAAAATAAAATTGGGGTTGATGTTGACTGGTGCGGATGGTTTTGAAAATTAAGGGGATCTTTTGCTAAGCTTGAACTCAATTCATAATTATTGCAAAATTTATAAATAATCAAAACTTTACTTTGATAACTTTAGAGTCAATGAACTTGAAGTAAATCAGGAATTAAAAAAAAAAAATAGACAATCTTTATAATTCAGCAATTTAGCTCGATGATTAGAACATTTTCAGCTATCCGCCCTCGCCACATTCAATTCCTATATACAATAATTAATTACTAAAGAAAAATGTGGATGAACAGTACCTGTATAATACTCAATTATTATTTTCATCTCATTCATTCACTTAAAGTATGAATGAATGAAATAAATACATACATAAATGATGAAAACAACAACAACAACTTAAATACACATTTATTAACGCTTACAAATCATTTTTATATAAATATATTTGTATATTTCATGTTTCTTCTTTTTTGGAATCGGAGTGAATTTAATGTGCCACAAATAAATGAAAAATTATTACTAATTTAATGAGATTAAATGAAAACTAAAAACACATGAAAAGTTATTGCGCTAGTTTGTAAGTAAAATGAGCGATAAGTTTACTTATTAATGAATATTACAAAAAAAAAAAGATGAAACATAAGCCATTTAGGAGTTAACTTTATGATAGTTAAACACATTTATGAGATTAGGCTGGGTTTAAGCAATTTCTGATGATGATGGAATTATAGAACAAATGAAATACGGCATGTTCAAAATACAGTTATGGAGGATCGGATTCGAGAAGCATAGAAGATTGCTACACACAATGTGAGAATCATTCTTTGCTGCTCGATCCAAACTGCTCAAAGTTTCATTCTCAAATCATTCTTTTTTTTTGATGCTTCCTGATTTTATCTTTCGTTCAACATTTTCATGTTTTTCATAATAAAATTCATAATAAATAAATAAAACATGATATGGACCATAATTTGGAAAAAGACAATATATACTTACAATTAATTCAGACGTAAATGAAATGAGATACTTTTTTGATGAACAAATCTTTGTATGAGAATCACACACAAAGACATAAAAACTAAATGAATAATTAATGAACACATTTCGTCTAATACTGAAGTATTTTCTGGATTTTTGTTCTGTTTTTCTTATGAAATTTCATCCAGGGATTTGAGATTTATGGTTTTGTCTAGATTCATTATTCTCATTCTATTTTAAGTGATCAAAAATCGGATCTCTAGAACTAGTAAAGGTGATTCAGCTAAAGCTCTAGTCTCATTGTTGAATTTATCTAGCTAATTGATCCACAGACATCTTCAATATATGATTTGGTAGCAATTTGCCATGACAAAATCCATTAAAATTTCATTTTTCAATAGCCTTGACAATATTAAAGATCAAATTCTTAGGAATATATTTTAAAAACTTTAAATCTCGAGTCTAGCAAGATCGTAATTTAAAAATCCCTTCCTTTCATCTTCATCAACTCATACATTACAATCTTATTAAGATGATTATCGTCATCGTCATGCCAAAAAAATATTATAATTCACTAGCTCAAAGAAATAAAAAAAAAAATATTTAAACTATAAAAAAATTTCCTCTTTGAATTCTTCCTAAATCTTTTCTGTTGAAGCTCTTGTTAAATTAACTTTGAAAAAAGCGAAAATTCAATATATTCTAATGAAGAAAAATTATTAAATGAAGAAAATATAAGAAGCCTAATTTTTAAAAGTTTTGTTCTTAAATTTGAATGATAAAGGAAAAGTTGGTCAAGGAAAAGAAGCTTTAAGAAATTTTTCTTCGAGTTGCTGAGTTTCACATCATGTAAATTACAATTACTGTGATGTGCTGCTCGGTTCAACTTCAATCCGGAAATTATTTATACCTCCTATCTATAACAATAGAAAATGACCGAATTCAAGGTCTTTTGAGGTTAAAAGTCACGGCAATTCAAGTGTAAAATCTAGTTCAATTTCATTACAAAATAATTTTTTTAATAAATCTTTAAAAAAAAGCTTAGTCATGTTCCTGAAAAAAAATTCAATAACGCATTTTTTAAAGCTTCACTTCCTTGACCTCAAACCGCCAATTAAAATACTCATGTTATTCATTCCAAAGAAAGAACTTTTCAATAAAAGAAAAATGTTAAAGCTTTCTAAATACCTAAAATTAAAATAATGTAAAATAAAAGTTTGATATAAAATAATTAAGCTTTTTTCTCCCGAAAAAAGTTGACAAAATACCTTAAAAAATTCTTTTGTTACAAAAAAAGCGATTGAAACTTTCCTGCAAATAAAATTAAACTTTAAAGTTAATCCTTGATCCGATAATATGGAATGAAATGAAGAAAAAAGTGGGAAAGTTAATGAAAATTTTCATGATGACAATAAAGTTTAAATATAATTAAAATAATAAGGAGAAAGAGGAAGCAGAATATAGAACAGTTTTTATAATTTCCAAAGTGATATATTATTAATAAAGGATATTTAAAATATTATTTAACCATGAAGCCCAAATTGCTAGAAAACAAGCAATTTGTGTGTTAAGGTTGAATTTTCATGGAACTGGGGAAAATTTTTAAAATGGCTTTTTTAGTTTTGAGACCACAAAACCTGTAAAAGATTTAGTTTTATGTCCTACAAAGCTTTTTGAATAAAATCAGTAAATTCCACTTTTCAGTTTAACAAAATCTTCAATTTAAATAAAAAATCATTGCCAGAAATTTTTCAATTTAAAATCAATTTAAAACTATTTGCCTTTTTAAAAATGTTCCTCACCATCGTTCATATATTTTGCGAATGAAGCCGCTATTGGTCCATCAAAAAAAAAGAATTTTAGGTTACAGAAAAAAAAATAAAAAATTGAAGTTTTAAAATTAAGAATTTTTTTCCCATTCGAAAGGTTTCAAAATGCAACGAAGTCAAAAGAATGAAAAAACTCGAAAACTTAATTAAAATTTAAATAAAATTCATTTAATTTTTACTTGAAAACTTCTATTATTAAGTTTATTAAATTTAAGTTAAACAGAACCTCTGATTATGTAAAATTATCGATGACAAAAATACGCTAGAAATGCCAAAGAATAATTAGAATTTAAGTAAAAAAAGACGAAAAAGATGTATAAGATGAGAAGTAGTTCTTTTTGTCGTGCAATAGATTTTCATTTGATTGCATAAACGACTTTATAATATGTTACTAGTTATGATAATATTAATAATGATGACAATTTTTTTATAAATATATTTTACAATTTAAAAACGAAACAATGTATTAAGAAAGTATGGCTAAAAAGAATTTTATATTTCAAAATGAAAAAAAAATTTATTGTTTCAAATTCTTTTTTTTATTATGTATGATGATGATTTGAAACTCCAAAAAGTTCTTAATAAACATTAATTAATAAAAATATATTTCAAAAAAATGAATTATTTTCTTTTGATTTTTTAAAAATTTACTGAAGTCTTGGATTCTTTTCAATGTTCCAACTATTAAATTCTCCGGAATCATGTAATGGATAAATTTACTGTTCTTGATGTGCAGCATACCTTACCGTTTTACTACGTAAACATACTGACTAAGCAATAAATCTATAGATTCACGAGGATGAACGAAGTCAACAAAATCTTTCAGTTACCTCCTCAAGTTTAATAAAAAACAATCCGAATGATAAGAAAGATTTTTAATTCGTTTTTTTCTGAGCACGTTTAAAAATCAATTAGTATTTTTCAATTCCACTTGCAGTAAAGTTTTTCGATAAGATAAACCAATCTGCTTTGATAATATTATCCGTTATATAAGCAATCAGCATAAGCTATGATAACTTTAGTCTTATTCAGCTGCTTGAGGTTGTTGTTTTGAAAATAATGAAGAATTTATTTATTGTTTTGTGTTTAACTTATCTAGTGCAGGTGATACATTATACTTTAATTCCATCGATTCCTTATGAAATTTAAATTCATGATTTCAGATCAATGCATTAGAAAAGTCAAAACTATTTGAGTCACTCGATACAGTCACCAGTGAGTTATTACGTGCACAAAGTGAATTGACTATAGCTCATGATTTCTCAGAAATGCAGAGTTACATTAATCGTAATATTGTCGCATCATATATTGAGCTAATGAATGAACAATTAATCGAAAGTTTCATGGATACTTACAAAATAATGGATGATATTGAAGATGATGTCGAAGATATTTTAGAAGACTTACCAAGTAGTGACTGCGTAAGAAATGTAAAGATGCGATTTGAACTTCAAGCTAAAAGACATGGAAGTTTCCTTGGCAACTGTATGCGTAGTTCTCATATTGTTCTTGCAAGTTGGATTACTCATATGAATAATCTTACTGACACTGCTCAGTTTACATTAAATCAGGCTCCAAATCAAGGATTAGCATCTATTGTCGAACGATTGAGAATAGATAGTTCTGACAGCTTTTATACTCCAATTAACCGAAGATTAAGGCTTCTGCTAACATCAGTTAGATTCTATATGGACGAATTTGAGGAATTCAGAGCTTCACTCGTTGACAATGAGGAACAAATTCTTGAAGACTTGACTACAGTAAGTCATTTAAACTTGTTCATTTATTAATAAAAATTTATTTATATTTTTTGCAGTGCGATCGTGAACTTGTGGTAAGATTCAGGCAAGCTGCTGATTCAGAACTAGAAAGAGCTCGAGCTTGTGCCTAAACAATTACAAAATATTTATCTTTGAAGTTCCAATACAGAATCATTTGAAAATTTTGTCAATAATCAATTTATGGTAAGAGATAACTTTTATCTTATCAAACTTCCTTTCGATTGCTCACATTGCTAGTCCGTGATAACTATATTGTTAACTACTAATGTTGAGGTAGGTCATGCATTCCAATTTTATTTCATTTCCTCTTTTAAGTAAATCTTGTGAATTGATGCTTTTAATTTAAAGATGATTCTAGATAATTTAATTTATCAACTATTGAACTTCTAAAATTCAAAAGATTAATAAATTGTAATTTTTGTTTCCAATCGATAATTTTATTTTATAAATAATCGTGTATCAAATACAACCTTCTTTTTAACAAATTCAAATAAGTTTTTTTAAAGTTTCCTGCAATAAAGCATAATTAATAATCAATATTCGTCTTTAGAAAAAATAATTTTGTTGAAACCATACAAGTTTAAAAACATTTGTAAAGCTGTTGATTTAAAAAAAGTGACTTTTTTGTGCTCAAAAATTGAGTTTATAACTTTACAACAACTCAAGTTCAACAATAAAAAATTAATGAGGATATGAATTGTAAATAAATTTAATTGAAAATTAAATCATTATAATTTTGAATCATGTAGTAGGGAGATACTCTGCAACATGTTGTATTCCTTACTACTGTCATTCTATCAGCTCTCTCGAAATTAGCCTTGACGAGTTCATAGTATCTCCCATCGCTGAGGACCATGCATCGAAGTTTCAAACATTTAACACGCAACAAATCAATTGCCTTTTGACTTTTATCTGAGAAACGGAGATTTTCTGGATCCCATCTATAAGATTTAAAGTTATTAGTACAAAATGTCAACGATTATGACTCTAGCATTATATACCTAAGTTCAAGTCGCTCTAATTTTGGACAGTTTGTAGCAATAGCATCCATTAGCTGATCAACATGGATATTAACAGATAAACGCTCATGACAACCCATGACAAGAATTTTAGCTGATTTTAAAATAGGAAGGATTGTCATCCATAGCTATAGTAAGAAAAACATAGGAGATTCATTAAAATGATTAGGAATAATTAAATTTGTAACGGATATTTCTGTTTTGAATAAGTAAAACCAATACTATCACAGAACTCTACACATCTATCTACAAAGCTTTATTTAAAATTAAATTGTAAAAAATAATAGAATTAAGTTTTAATAGATGATGGCAGAAGTTTGTGTTACAAAAAGTAAATCAAAGGAAGAGTTTGATGTCGAGAATTCGGAATTAACACGAAACTTATCAATTGGAAGCCTTAGTGAAGCAGTCGAGAAGGTTTTACTTTGGTTTGCTAGAAACGATGAATGCTCTTCACTTGGGGATTGTTTCGAAGCACTTAGTCTTAAATCAAGTAAAGGAAGCATTATTAACGATGATGAAAGTTTTAATACTCCGTCATTTCAATCAGATGATGAAGATCTACATGAAAATTTAAAGTAAGTCATAATTCAGCCAAAAGATTAAATTAATATGACTTGTATCAATCTTCTTGCAGAGAATCTTGCTTAAAAGTAAAGGAATTAAAAACTCCAGTCGTTCCAATACAGTTAAATCACCAAGACAATTATGATGTTACTTTAATCAACTTTCAAAGTTTGGATTCATTTTTTGTAACTATTAAGCGAGCAGATGATAAGAAATGGAACCGATTGATTCGACGTTTAAAGAAGCTCCAGATAAAGAATCGTCTAGAGCCGTTGGAAGAGTTCATCAGAGGAAATCCGTGTCTGGTAGAAGTGAATGGAGAATTACATCGAGCAATAGTTCAAAACTGCAATACCAAAACTGCAATTTGCTTTGGAATAGACACTGGTAAAGTCTATTTAGTCAATTTGTTTAAGGATTTCATCTATTATATGTCACCTAAAATCCGAAACACGATTGAATTTCAAGCTATCAACTGCAAATTATTTGATGTTCGTTTGCCACATGATCCAGATATCACCAAACTTGTGTATGACACAGTCATATCCAAAATAAGTAAGCCCCAAGTTAAAGTTGTTAAGACAAAAGCTTCAAGATTTATCGACGACAATTGTATGGCATTTGATAATTACGAAGTTATGTTATTTGGTCATGACAGGAAAACGAGCATTAATCAGCAAATAGCTTTTTCCATTCAAGGTATGAAGGATTATGATTTAGATAACTTTTAACTGTTTAATTGTAATGAAGTTGATCTTGTGAAAAATACATCCGAGTGTAATAGAGACGGAAATAAAAGGAAATTAAATATTTACTTGATCAGTAATATGCGCCATTCCACTTAATATGCAAGCTTGAAGCTGAGCGCCATATCGAGTTACAAACTTGATTAAAATTTCGTCCGAAAGATTGTCAGATGCATCAAGATCCAAAGATAATAACGATTTGCAATTTCCTGATTCCATCCAAGCTTTTAAAACTGAGTCATTAAATCCATTAATTTGACCAGCACTCAAGAACTTTAAAGACGGAATTCTAGTCAGCATGTCAATGAGGCACTCACTTGATAAGTCTGTTGCTGTGATGTCAAGTTCTTGCAGAATTCTTAAAATATAACATTCAAATCACAAGCGTTAAAGGAACAGAATAAAGCTTACGTTTTGTCCCATTCAACTGTCATAACATGTTCTGACTGAAGGCTTGTTCCATTCATGAGTAAGCACTTCAATCGTTTCGATCGTTGAAACAGTGTCTTTAATGTAGCTCCTGTGACTTTGTTACAAAAATTTACAGCTAAGCATTCAAGTTGAATACAATTGGAACTGAACGCATCAATGTGTGAATCGTCAATGAAGTTGATTCCGTAAAGGTTAATGACACGAAGATTTGGTGTTGCTGCTTTTAATTTGTGCACGTTAATGACTTCCTAAAGTGTTTTTTTAAAAAAAAAATAATTTCAGGTAATTTGACTTGCTTTTGCTACTCACATAAATTTCCTCCTCCTCTTGATCAGTTTTCTCGTAAGTTCCAACCAAATGCAACACTTCCAATCCATTGATAAAGTTATAGATCTTTCTCATAAAGCCTTCCATGAAAATGACTTCAGACAGGCAAATACACAAATATCTAAGCTTGGCAGGAAAAGCTTGAAGTTCTGAAAAATCATGAAGTTGCATGGCCTGTTGAAAATCAAGCAACATATGAGTCAAGTTTGGACATTTTGCAGCCAATTCATGCAGAACATGGTGAGTAATTAATTCAATTGGAAGTTCGAGATAGCGTAAAGATGGACCAAAACGTGCTGAAATGAGTGTCATAAGAGATTCTAAAGATCCCACGTGAAGCCCTAAAAAATTAATTACATTAACGGATGTATATGAAATGATAGAACATGATTTAAGTACCAGAAATTTCAGGACGCAACGAGACATTCTTCCACAGTCGGCTGTCGTATGCAATTTGTCTCCATCGACGAGATATAGTAGCTGAAAAATATTTTTGTTTGTCAGTCAATTTTCTCTCAGATTTATAGAATATGATCTATGATTTTTCTCTCACCCATGCGACAAATTTCCAAATGAGATAGATATGAGAAAATATTGAGGAGAACTTTATCAGGCAATTTCTCGATGGTCTGCAAATGAAAATTTTTTCAAACACAAAATTAATTTAAATATTATGGAATTTAATATTTTTTTTAAACAAATTCTACAGATGTGCTATATAAAAATATTATCAACTTCTACAATCCACAAGTGATTACGAAATCTTACAGTGTTAGCAAATGGAGATTTCCCATCTTCGGTTACATACATCTGAGATGCTTCAATGGCGACTTGTTCCAAAAATCTATCCATGATTAATCTGTTATATTACAAATATCTACTTGATAAAATAACTCTGTTAAATGCAAGACAACTCTACAAAGTTGTGGCAATTCTTAAGACACTACTGATTGTGATGAAAATTTTCCAAAACTATACTTTAATTTTCTCCTTCAAAAATCTCTCGTAAAGTTATTTTTAGAATTTTCTTTTTTTTCTGAGATATGCCTCTTCTTATGTGCGTGATCATGAAGAACATTTTTTGAGATGAGAGAAAATTGAGCATGAATTGCTACTCAAACACGTGATAAACAACATTTTACTTTCTCAAACATTGAACATATGATTTCTTGACTTACGGAATCTTTAAACATATCAGCGAGTTCCTTTTATAAATATCATTGAATCATTAATATCATTTGACTGTATCTTGTATTAATTAACGAATAATAGTCATTAAATTGCAAATTATCGCCTGATTTCCGTTAAAATTAGAAATTTTGTTCTTTTAAATTTTGAATCTTGAAACTGTTTTTTGTTATAAAATGTCTTAGAACCTTTGAAATTATACAGCTTTTGAGCACTGAATTTTCCTTATTATTCGCCCATAAAATTAAAACAGTTTATAACAATGCTGTTCAAGCCATTTCTGCTTATTCCTTTAATACTTCAAGGTCCGGCTTTAATAAGCATGAATCTTTTGAGTATCAGCATTCACTTTCAGCTTGAACAACATAGAATCAAAGCATGTATAACTTACAAGCTCCTTTTTTCTCCTAAAGCTTCCATTATTATGATCATCTCGATTTATGGACAATGCCTGAAGATCAACCATAGTAAAGCCTTCCATCTACAAAAAAATAATATATTTTTAATCAACAGATTATTTAAAAAAAGCATGATTTAATCGTGAATTAATGAGTAAAGCTATAATTAAAAAGTTTAATCTAAAAATACGTTACAACCGGATATTAATTTGAACAGCGTATATTTGTATTGTAGCCAACTTCACGCTTGTTGTAACGGTTTTATAAAGTTTGAATTAACACAATAGATCAAGTTATAAAGTTTCATTTGAATTAAATTAAACATAACACAGACGAAGCAGTTTAGTTTATACTCAATTTTACTTAATTCATATGGCATCATTTACAATCATTGGACAGTCAGACAAATTGAATACGAATACCAGTGTTGTATAAAAAGGAGTTAAAAATACGTTACGTATTTTGAAGTAAAGCGTTAAGCCAAAAGTTTGATTTTTGTTTGGAGGAAATATTTTGAATTAAGTTTTTTAATTATTTAATCGTTTAAATGGACACAGAAAGTAGTGATTTTGATTCGCCTGACATGAATTCAAGCTTGGAACGTCAGTCGTCTCCAGAAAGAACAGTCCAACCAAGGAAATTAAAGTTTTCGCCAAAAAGCCCTAACAAATTACAATTTTCTCCTGATATAAACAGAATTAAAGCCTTAAGGTAGCAAATAAATTGAATTAGACTAGTAAGTTCTTTAACTAATCATTGATTTCAGATTGTTTGATTCGCCAAGAACACCAAAAACATTGTCAACAAAGTATCAAAAATTCTTAGCAACAAATGATCATCATGATGAGAATAATTTTGAGTTGATTGCGCGACCAACAATTCCAGTTCCGGAACTTTCATTTTTACATACAAATAACAACAATCATATTAATAAACCAAAGCCATTTCCATTGTTTAAACAACTGCATGAAAATCTATGTAAGATATATAAAATATATTGAAACATCCAGTTATTAACTCTTATTCATATTTTTCGTTATAGCTGCAAATGTTAATCCATTCACACCTCCGGGAATATCATTACGCAAGAAGCGAGCACGATTAGAAAATGATTTCATGAATTCGTCATTACCAATTATTAACAATCCAGTTAGACCAAATAATTATGCCAATAAGTTTGAAAATAACAATAAATATGATAATAATAATAGATGGCTTCACTCAGTTTCCAATGTAAAGGAAACAGTGAATGCAACAACATGTGATTCAACAGAGCTGTGCTATGATGACGAAACAAATGAATTTCGTCAAGCGCCAAAACGTCTAGCGCTACAAGAATCCAATATAACCAGATATGAAAAGGAGTTTGTGGAGTTAAAGTTATTAGGTGTCGGTGAATTTGGATTAGTATATCAGTGCCTTAATCGTCTAGACGGTTGCATTTATGCAATTAAACGTAGTATTAAACCTGTTGCTGGAAGTTCATTTGAAAAGATCTCATTAAATGAGGTTTATGCTCATGCAGTACTTGGAAAGCACGACAATGTTGTTAGATATTATTCAGCATGGGCAGAGAATAATCACATGCTCATCCAAAATGAATATTGTAACGGTGGCAGTTTACAGTCACTTCTTCAAAAGCGCATTCTTAACGAAGCCGAACTTAAAATTCTCTTATTACAAGTTGCTGAAGGACTCAAATACATTCATTCTCATAATTTAGTACATATGGATATTAAAGCTGGAAATATTTTTATCTCGAAACCTCAAATTAAGTGAGTAAATCATTACAATTGACTAGCTTGTCATATTCTTATTGTTTAGTCTGTCATTTACACGATTTAGGCAAACGCAAGGAGATGATGGATTTGATGAAAATTATGATCAGTTGGATAACTATCAAGCTGTAACATATAAAATTGGTGATTTAGGACATGTGACATCAATGAGTGAGCCACAAGTCGAGGAGGGAGACTGTCGTTACTTGCCAAATGAAATTCTTCAAGATGATTATTCAAACTTGTCAAAAGGTGACATTTTCTCGCTGGGAATTACAATCTATGAAGGTATGGCTACAAAACTTAATATTTATAATATGGATAAACATAAATTTTTAATTCTTTAATTGATTTACAGCTGGTGGTGGTGGTCCATTGCCAAAGAATGGAGAGTTATGGCATCAACTCAGAAATGGAAATGTACCAGACTTGCCGGGAATCAGTCGAGAATTTAATGATTTGATCAAATTAATGACTCATCCTAATCACCAAGAACGACCTTCATCAACAACAATTTTCAATCATTCCGTTCTATGTCCTGCTGTTAATAAATCGAAAGCCCAATTACTTCATGAACTCAACCTTGAAAGACAGAAAAATGAACTTTTAATCAAAAAGTTGCGTGAAAGTAATAAACTTGTCAAATCTTATGAACTTTCACAGACGCCTGGTAAGTCACTCAGTTGTAGTTTTAGAATTTATAATTAACTTTTTTGATGTGCGGGAAACTAGTCATGTCACATTTTAGAATGGCAGGTAATCGTTGAAAAAATTCCAACGGACTTTTAAAAATATAACTGCCAAAATAATTTTGAATAAAAACATCTGAATTTGAAATTTAAAAATCCGTTAACATTTCGAAATTACTAATTATAGTTTCAAAACTTCGATTACCGACTAGCAAGCATTGAGAAATTCGCGTTGGACATGCCGCACAGAGATCTAGCACATCAATCAGTTAAAACAGTCATTTAATTGCCAATATTTATCTCATTTTTCTCTAATTTTCATGACTTTTGCAGTAAACAACAAGAAGATACGATCAAACCTACGAAATGAGCCAATTCTCTCGGATAGAAAATTACGCTCAGGATCAAAAGTGAGACGAACGCAACGAAGATTAAAATGAATGAGAAAAAGATTAACATAAGTAATAATAATATTTTATATATATATATACACACATTAACTTTGAGTATACGTTTAAGAAAAAGGAAAGAGCAACTTTTTAAGTTATTATTTGATACCTATACACAGTAAATCATTATTATTTTTCTATAATTTTTCATATTTTTATTTTCTTAATTTTAAAATCGAATTTAACACTTAAAAAAAAAATCTCAATTTCTTTTAATTTTTCATTATCATTTTTCGCATCCAATTTTTATTTTAAAATAAAATTAATATATTTTTTAATCTACGTCCTTCCATAAAAGAGAGAAACTACTGATATAAAACAAAACAAAAAAATGTGAAGAAAAGAATGTTGATATATGTTAGAAAATAAAGTTATAGATTATGAGTTTTTTCAGTAAGAAAAAAGAAGAAAAAGTGGATGTTGTTTAATTTTCCATCGTCATATTGCAAAAAGCTATAAATGGATTTTTATGACTCGTTTTAAGAAACTTTTCATCTATTTTACTGCCCAACCTTTTTAAATTGATTTTATCTTAATTGATTACAGAAAGCATTAAAAATTATGATCACGATTTGAATTGTTTTGGAACGGATTCAAGACAAACAGTTGAGAAGACACTGAGGCTTGAGTTTTGTAAGCTGTCATGTTGCTAAGGCAAGAAAAATTGATTTTTACAAAAATTCTATCAAAATTGTCATGTGGACATGGATAGACAAGCTATGATCATTATTTATAAGCGTCTTTAGTCCGACGGATGTATCGTTGGCATTAAAACTGACAGACATAATATTGGCTTTAGTCATCACATATAGTTCATTATTCTGTGGAATTTCCTTTAAAATTTTTGAGTCTAGGGATCGTTCACAAAAAATTACCATCAAATAGGGATCTTTTTAGACCCTCTTCTTACTCTTTATATTTCTTAATGTCAATTAAAGTCTGACTCAATCTCTTAAAGTTGATCATCATGGATCATCATTTATGAACAACGGTGAACAATCCTTTTAAGTCACACGAATTAAAACAGATAAAAGCACTTTAAGAATATATTATATTCCAGAACAGTATGTGATCAGCACAAGCCATAACTCTACTTAATTATTTAAAATTTAAATTCTTATAAATCAGCAAACACAGAGCGATAAAAGATTGATGGATTTATTAGATAAATCTGCCAAGCACAGCTGCTTTTCAAAGAGAATGTTTTTATCAATTTATACAAAAAAGCACGACGTGATCTGGAAAATTATTTCCAAAAACCTGTGAATAATCATGCGCGAAAGTTGTGCATTGACGATTTTATCAAGTGTTAATGAACAATCGATTGAATTAATGGTTATTAATTTTTGAAGTATTCACAAGACAGTGCTGCACTCAAGGAACTAGTTTTTTCTATCATGTCATGCACCAAAATTTCAAAAAATCTGTTGACCACAAGCTTTTAAAGACCCTTTTAAACATTCATAAAACTGTAGTATTCAGCAGTAAATATTCATTGTGATAAGTTAAGCATGTTCTTTATTTAAAAATTCAGCATCAACATGTCTAATATGAAACAAAAACACCCAATTCAACTAAATCCCAACGATCATCATGTCTCTTATTAATGCCGATCCTCTCTCAAATGTCAGGGTAAACTTACACATACAAAAATTTGTGTAAGCATCAATTTTTGAACCCTTCAGCGCTCATGAATTAGAGGCTGTTCACTTATGACGTCCAGATGAGGGGGGGGGGGGGGTCAGCAAGAAAAGAACAATGGAAATTCCTGGAAATCCATTGTTCTTTTTTGCAAAAAAACCGTTAATTTCGGACGTCATAAGTGAACGACCCCGTAGAGAAATTCAATTAAATGAGAGAATTCTCATTACTCTTTTTTTTAAAATGAATGGATATACTTTCTGAAACATGAGACACAATTGTTTAGTAAAAAAATAAATAAATTTTATTTTTAGCTATCAAAAAACATTTTGTACTTGCTATTGTTTTTGCACGATTGTAAGATGCGAATGAAGAGATTTAAAATTCTGAGAATGAAGGGGGTGTGAGAAGAAATTGTCTGCGGATGCTATGAACGCTTTTCTTTTACTTAAATCTTGAAGTAAGAATAATCTGACATGTCAAACGACTTTTGAAAATTTAAAATTTTAACGATTTTTTTAAAATTCAAAATTGATCTTCAGTTTTTTCAATTCAAATTTTAACGATTTTTTGATTCCGTTTTACAACGATGAATAATTTCTAAACACAGCTCGTTCAATTTTACAAAACAGTTATTGTCAGCCAGAAGCCAAAGTGATTAAAACTGATCGCATGACTTAAGAAAAATGAGTAAAATATGATGAAAAATCGAAATTTAAATGGTCTAGGAAATGACTTACGATTAATAGATTCTAATAAATTTTCTTTTATGCTCCACAACGACCGTTAAACTCTTGACTTTGTGGCACTGCTTAATGCCTTTTTCTTCTGTCTTTTATCACTTTTTTAAAATATTAATAATTCAATACTCTGACAGATTCTTATTCATTGGCACTGTATATTTTCATTAGTTGGATATTCCCTTAATTGATTCACGGAAAAATGGCAAATACCAAATAACGAAATAATCTTATGTACAAAAATAGCTTTATTTCAGGGGTCTCATTAAAACTAAACTATATTAACGCGAGAAATCTTTTCATTTTTCTTTCTTCCTTCTTATAAGTTTCAACTTCACGACGAGACTGAGACATAATGAGATGCACAGAGTCATGTGTGGTTTTTCCCTCTAATTTTCAATAGATCTTTTCCTTAATTACCTTATTTTCTCTCATTTTCTTCTGTCGCGTGGATCTTTTGAGATATTTTGCAAGGAAATTGCAATGAATGCGAGAGAATAAACACACAAAATTTTCAAATTTTGTGAATATATTGTTTTTGGTTTTTCGGAAAATCAGTTTTTTTAACTTTCTGCTTCAGGCTTACGGAATCAACCCAAATACCTGACATTTGTGCCTTGAAATACCTATCTAATGGTGAAAACAATTTTTCATTTGAAAGTTCCAGTTCAGAGAAATCGCAAAAAAAGGCATTCTGTTTTTAATCGGTGCGATAACTCGATTCAAACTCAATATTAAGACTTCCGATTTTTTTAATTCTGATAGATAATGGCTATCGCAAGAACTGGATTGTTTTTGGAGTCATGAGATGCTTCCAGTGAGGCACAAGATGCATAAACATTTTTGTAAAAGAAAAGTTTAACCGATTATTACATAACATATTTATTTTTTGTTTATAACGGAAATATTTGTTGGTAGGAGTTTGAAATTAATAAAATAGTTGTGACGGTATGCATTAAGTTAAATGTATGTGAAAAAATGTTGGAACTAGCGAGTTCCTTCACAAGATTCAGCTTACTGGATCTATGTTATTGAATACATACTTTAATTGTATCATAATGGAAATATGTTTTTGGTTCCATCATTGATTTTTTTCTTGCTGTATACTTACTGGATCTTGGTTCCAACGATAGCACAATTTCAATTTCAATTTTAGTGAACTGGATTTAATTTTTAATGACAAATTATATTATTTAACCAATTTTTCACAATGATCTCTCAATTTCATCAAATTGTCAAAGCCCACTAAGAAATTTTTCTTATTTCTTAATTATAAAAAAATTGAAATTGAAATTGTCAAAGCCCACTTAGAACTTTTTCTCAAATTTTACTGGATCATGGTTTCAAGTTTCAGACATGATTTAAACTTTACTGGATCTTGATTCCAAGTTTTAGACATGCTTTAAACTTTACTTATAATAATTTGTTGCAGACATGATTAAAACTTAACTGGATCTTGGTTTATCGTTTCAAATATGATTAAACCTTTACTGGATCTTGTTTTCAAGCTTCAGACATGATTAAAACTTAACTGGATCTTGGTTTTAAGTTTCAGACATCATTAAAACTTTACTGGATCTTGATTCCAAATTTCAGACATGATAAAAACTTTACTGGATCGTTGTAATTTGTTGCAGACATGATTAAAACTTTACTTGATCTCTGTTTTAAGTTTCAGACATTCTTAAAACTTTACTGGATCTTGGTAATTTGGAGCAGACATGATTAAAACTTTACTGAATCTTGGTTTTAAGTTTCAGCCATCATTAAAACTTTACTGAATCTTGGCTCCAAGTTTCAGACATGCTTAAAATTTTACTGGATCTTTGTCATTTGTTGCAGAAATGATTAAAACTGAACTGGATCTAGGTTTATTGTTTTAGACATGATTGAAACTTTACTGGATCTTGGTTCCAAGTTTCAGACATGCTTAAAACTTTACTGGATCTTTGTCATTTGTTGCAGATATGATTAAAACTGAACTGGATCTAGGTTTATTGTTTTAGACATGATTAAACCTTTACTGGATCTTGGTTTTAAGTTTCAGACATGATTGAAACTCTACTGGAACTTGGTTCCAAGTTTCAGATATCCTTAAAACTTTACTGGATCATTGAATTTGTTGCAGACATGATTGAAACTTTACTGAATCTTGGTTTTAATATTCAGCCATAATTAAAACTTTACTGGATCTTGGCTCCAAGTTTCATATATAATCAAAATGATAATTTGTTGCAGACATGATCAAAACTTTACTGGATCTTGGTTCCAAGTTTCAGACATGCTTTAAACTTTACTGAATTATAATAATTTGTTGCAGACATGATTAAAACTTAACTGGATCTTGGTTTATTGTTTTAGATATGATTAAACCTTAACTGGATCTTATTTTCAAGCTTCAGACATGATTAAAACTTAACTGGATCTTGGTTTTAAGTTTCAGACATGATCAAAACTTTACTGGATCTTGGCTCCAAGTTTCATATATAATCAAAATGATAATTTGTTGCAGACATGATCAAAACTTTACTGGATCTTGGTTCCAAGTTTCAGACATGCTTTAAACTTTACTGAATTATAATAATTTGTTGCAGACATGATTAAAACTTAACTGGATCTTGGTTTATTGTTTTAGATATGATTAAACCTTTACTGGATCTTATTTTCAAGCTTCAGACATGATTAAAACTTAACTGGATCTTGGTTTTAAGTTTCAGACATGATCAAAACTTTAATGGATCTTGATTCCAAATTTCAGACATGATAAAAACTTTACTGGATCTTTGTAATTTGGTGCAGACATGATTGAAACTTTACTGGATCTTGGCTCCAAGTTTCATATATAATCAAAATGATAATTTGTTGCAGACATGATCAAAACTTTACTGGATCTTGGTTCCAAGTTTCAGACATGCTTTAAACTTTACTGAATTATAATAATTTGTTGCAGACATGATTAAAACTTAACTGGATCTTGGTTTACTGTTTTAGATATGATTAAACCTTTACTGGATCTTATTTTCAAGCTTCAGACATGATTAAAACTTAACTGGATCTTGGTTTTAAGTTTCAGACATGATCAAAACTTTACTGGATCTTGATTCCAAATTTCAGACATGATAAAAACTTTACTGGATCTTTGTAATTTGGTGCAGACATGATTGAAACTTTACTGGATCTTGGCTCCAAGTTTCATATATAATCAAAATGATAATTTGTTGCAGACATGATCAAAACTTTACTGGATCTTGGTTCCAAGTTTCAGACATGCTTTAAACTTTACTGAATTATAATAATTTGTTGCAGACATGATTAAAACTTAACTGGATCTTGGTTTATTGTTTTAGATATGATTAAACCTTTACTGGATCTTATTTTCAAGCTTCAGACATGATTAAAACTTAACTGGATCTTGGTTTTAAGTTTCAGACATGATCAAAACTTTACTGGATCTTGATTCCAAATTTCAGACATGATAAAAACTTTACTGGATCTTTGTAATTTGGTGCAGACATGATTGAAACTTTACTGGATCTTGGCTCCAAGTTTCATATATAATCAAAATGATAATTTGTTGCAGACATGATCAAAACTTTACTGGATCTTGGTTCCAAGTTTCAGACATGCTTTAAACTTTACTGAATTATAATAATTTGTTGCAGACATGATTAAAACTTAACTGGATCTTGGTTTATTGTTTTAGATATGATTAAACCTTTACTGGATCTTATTTTCAAGCTTCAGACATGATTAAAACTTAACTGGATCTTGGTTTTAAGTTTCAGACATGATCAAAACTTTACTGGATCTTGATTCCAAATTTCAGACATGATAAAAACTTTACTGGATCTTTGTAATTTGGTGCAGACATGATTGAAACTTTACTGGATCTTGGTTTTAAGTTTCAGACATGATTGTTTTAGATTATCCTTATTAGTCCTTATAATACTTATGAGTAAAAAAATCTCAGATTTCAGTAGCACACAAGTTGCAAAACTATCCAAGACTGTAACCTATGTTGAAGTCTGATCTACGTAAGAGACTGACTGCGGAGCAGCAAAACTTTCCAAGACTGTAACCTATGTTGAAGTCTGATCTACATAAGAGACTGACTGCAGAGCAGCAACTGGAGCGAAGCAGAAGTTGCAAAACTATCCAAGACTGTAACCTATGTTGAAGTCTGATCTACATAAGAGACTGATCTATTGTTTACTAAGTGTGAAAGTTAATGGCTTTCTACATAAGGCGTATTTATATATTTTATAATTTTAAAAATTATTATTTTTTTGAAACATTAGAATCATGATTTTCGTTGTAAAACGTGTTTTTAATGCGTGGTATACTTTGTTGATAATACAGCAAAATGTTGATATTATGTCTTACATTTTATTGAGAGAAGATTTTTCAAGATTTTCTGAACAATACATAGAGAGTTCTATAGGATTGTGTGAATATTCCTATGAAGCGTGATCGGTTTCATTACTAGTTTTTTGTTCCAATGGAGATAGATCATTGCAACAAATCTCTCAAAATTCATTGAGTCATGCATCCAATTTATTTATTACATTCTATCGTAAAATCCACTTCACAAGACCTACATCTGTTCCGAAAAAATTATGATCTATACTTCTGAAGGTTGTGCAATCAACCTTAAATGCTGGGAAATGCTGTTTAAAAAGTTTATAAAAGCTGTAGCGTGAAATTAAAATTTTAAAACCATACAAAAGTTCTTCTTTTTCTTAATCACTTTTAATAAGTTCAATATTAAGTATGCTATTAAAAGACCGTTCGCAGTTCCGGGTAGGTTACATTTCATAAATATACATGAAAAGGAATATTAAAAGATCCAGTCAGCTCCAACTGGTTTACAGATTCATGCCTGCGATTAGCTGACAACAAAAACCATCGCTAGGCAATAAATCCATTTGCAATTGCCGATGATCTAGCTCCCCCTACAGTCAACCCTCATGCAATTTTAACTTGTTCTCTGGTATTCAAAATAAATTCAAATTCTTCCTATGTCTAAATTATATGTCTGTGGTATTCTGACGAGATTCAATTGAAACGTGTATAGGTTAAGAGTTGTTGGAGATCAGCAATTGATTGATAGAATTTGACCGCGATTTATGGGAAAACACACAAAACCGTCAGTTCAATATGTTATTTGGTATTTCGATGATGATACAATTCCTTTTTTTCTAGGTTATGTGCAAATCAAAAAAATCAGATGTGTATCAATAATTTTTTATTTTCACATTTTTGATCATTCATTTGACATAGTTTAATAATAAGGAGGATCATACATGCATTATTAAGTAATAATATTTTTTTTTTGTAAATATATAGTTTGTATATAAGTTTTACTTTTTAACAAATAAGGGTTGTCATAAAAATCATCAGGATTACGATAAATTTTCCTTACAGAACATGAATTTTGACAAACTTTTAAGGATAAGAAAAAAACACATAATTCGCAAAATTTTTCAGGTAATTTCTTTTTTTTTTCTTCAGTTTTAGGAACGGAAACTTTTGATTACTTTGTTCAATCAGCAGACTAGGTTTGTTTATTTAATGTAAGTGGAGGTGTTTATCTAATGGATACCCCTCAAAAAAATTTAAAACTGACCATTGTTAATGTGTTGCATACAAATCAGTTATGTCTCAGCATACTATTTTACACCTGAATATCTCAATTTGTTAACTGGGGATAATTTGACTTTTACTATAGAGGTTCTGTGCTCTTTTAGAATTAGAAAACGAAGTTGCTTTTAATAGGTTGCTTATTGCAGACGTTGTTTTGATAATGTCATTTTCTGAATTGAATTAGAAAACTGCCAAAATAGCAAGCAACACATAATAATAATTTTGCTTATTAATCAAATAAGTTCTGACGGTTTTGGAGAAGCCTAAGTGGGTCAAAATCATAATGTAATCAATAGTGCAACGTACACGTTAATTTTTGTATAATACCGCATATATTGCACAATTCCATAATTTTGAATAGATTTATCTTTTTTTGAAAAATTTCCAAATTTTCCCGAAATCAAAAAATAGTTGTTAATTAACATTTATAATATAACTATTATGTATCATAATAAAAAAAGTATTTAATTATCTACCCTCTTTATATGTCTTGTAATCTCATTATCATTTCTCAAAAAGCTCCTTAAAGGCTTAACTTTCAGATAGATCCAAAAACTGTGTGCACACTTCACGACTTATATCACCTTTAGAATTGAAAATAAACTTATAGTAATAGCCGTCAGCAGAGATCACAATAATTGAATTGTTATCGGAGCCAAAAGCACATATACAGTGGACAGAAGGGCCTGTTGGAATAGAGAATTTGGCAAAGCTCCAATGACTTGAGAAATATTTCGGTAAGATTTGTGAAATATTTTTCTCCTTTTGCTGTTCTTCCAGATTAAAAACATGAATGGTTCCATGATCAGACGCTACACATACTGCTGTCGATGAATGATTAAAATTTATGCAATAAATCTTTGCTTGATTAGATCCTCGTCTCAGTTCTGCCACTTTTTGACCAGTTGCTGTATCAAAAATTCTTACAAGTGTGCCTCGCTCACTAGATGTGGCCAGTCTCGTTCCTATTAGTTGAGTATTTCAAAAAGTAATAATATTAATGGATATTCACAAATAAATTATGGTTGTGCTTACCTTGAAGATTTAATGCTAAGCACGAAATTTTAGAATCATGTGCACTTATCTCTAATGGAGCCTTTTCTGTATTTGCAAGATCGACGATCAGAACATTACCAGTACGTCGAGCTGGAAAAGCCAGCAAGGATTTGTTACTATTTGGACATAAAACACACAAACCATTCTGATTTTGACTTGTTTCGAAGACGAGAAGCTGCTGTGGTGTTTGAGTAAAAGTGTAGACTTTAATGATACCCTCTATGAAAGTGAATTATATTATTTATTGAATGAGTCAGAAAGTGATTGATGTTAGAGATAACAGATAAGGAAATTACCTAGAACAACAACAATTCTATCTCGTCGCAACCTTACTGATTTAACTGGAGTTGAAAAATCTAGTGATATAGCTGGAAGTTTCTTCAAGTCATCCCACACTAGCACTTTATTTGATGGAAACAATGGCTTATGACCTCCGCCAACGAGTGCTAGATAATTACATCGGAAAAGCATTTCCACAATTTCAATTCCTCCTTCCAAAACTTGACGTTGTTTTTCTTTAAGTGGATCCACATTAAACACTCGAAATCCATCATGTGTACCGCATGCAAAACATCCTGTAAGATGCAATTGTTTATTAATAACTTCATTAACACAATTTGATAAGCACAAAAAAAATTATCAGAAAAATTAAAAACAAAGATCTTTTTTCGACATTTTCTTTAATTATCTGCGCACTTACCAAAATCCTGATTAAAATTTACAAACAACAATCCATTGTTATACTTAGAATCATGAAGATTCATTATTAATTACTTTTACGGCACAAACTTTAATTAAATTTCCTGAATTTTAACTTTTTGTATATCATCAATGATTCAAGTTGACAAGGAATTATCTGATTCAAAAAGCGTTTTTAAATTGTTTTTATTTTGTGACAAAAAGACAATTTACATCAAACAACCGGTTTGCATTGGTAAGAATATGTTAATTTATTTTTTTCGGGCTTTTAAGCATAAATTTGCATTAATTTTGACTTCCTTTTCATTGATTTTGATAGTTGATTTATGTGTTGGATATAGCACATTCTACTTTCTTGCCTCTTTTGATTTTTTCTTTCATAAATTTCAGTTAAAGTTTTTTTTTGAATCTTTAAATCTTTCTTGAATTATTTTTGAATTTCAAAAAACCGTTGAAATATGTAAGTGAAAAACTTTAATTAATTGGCCATTTTATTAATCTAAAACATAAATTTCAGTTATTTTGCAATTAATATAATTGAGAATGAAGGTGGTCTTATGAGTAAAAATATGTGTATTCAATTTGGTGACTTACAGGATAATTTAAACATTCTACAACTTAGTTTAATTAAAGTTAAAATTAAAATAACTAAAGATATTAATGATAATGATCAGGAGGCAAAAGTTAACTCGACAAAAGCACAGTGAGAGCATCGATGAACTTAGGGCAATCGGATTGCTTAATTTGTATGATATTTGTATCGAAAAAGTCTTGTGAAATAGCAGCATTGCTTTTGATGGCAGCTTGTTCGAATGCCTTTCCAAAAAGGTTCTTAGAATCATCTCCAATTGGTGGGATTCCAATCATGAGACAAATTTCTCTAGTTAAATCAACTGGAATACAAATAATTAAAGGTAAATCTCTAGAACGACGACTTCTTGAAACTGCCACAAATCCATTGAGCATAAATTTTGCGAGCATTGTTAGTGCATAAGGCGATGAGAATTGTATGTTTTCATCTTGAAAAATTACATATAAGAATGGACCTGCTGAATGAATTTGTTGTGTCTCAAGTGATGTCTTGACTTGCTTAAATATCGAGTCTAATAGAACTTTAGCCTTGTCGATGCCACTCTCGAGCATATTTTTCTTGTTCCTTGATAAGCTTTCTAGAGCATCAATAAAGCAACTTTCGGCTGTTCTCTCATGATCAATTTGTTCAATTAGTGCCATCATAGAATAGACATAATCAGCTGCAGAATATCGATTCTTATATCCATATTGTAACGTAAATGATCCATAAATGATTCCTGGCATGTTGTACTTTTCGGCTGTTTTTTCAATCATTTGATAAAAATCTTTTTTCATTAGTAAATCCATAGAATTAAATTGTTGCCTCGCTTGTGCTAACGGTAATCCCATTTCAACTAGTAACTCATTTAATTTCTTTTTTCCATTCAATGTCCACAATTTCATCCGACATGCTGAATATATTGAATTCTTTATTGATTCTTTAACGCTCCAGTGTCGATAAAGTGCTAGATATAAGTCATTTTCATATGTGATCCTAATTGCTGTATGAGAATTTTCATTAATTTTATTGGACAGACGTGAAACATGAGATTGAATTCGTTGTGTCTCTAATGTATAAACGGAACTTTCAATTTTACCGAGTAGCAGTTGTTCAGTGATTCCAATAATTGCCCACCATAATAAATCTAATGAATCTTTAGACATTTTCCATGCTAGCTCGTAAATAACTATAGAAGTGCTTCTTGCGTAGTAACTATATTGTGAATAATTAAATAATACTCGATCTCTCGCCTTCTCCCAATCACGTTTTTCTCGGTTCTTTCTTAGTCGCCTCTCAAATTTCTCAATATGTGTTGTTGGTCTATGATTTGAATTTTCCGTATTTTCTTCATCCTCAATTTCATCATCAGCACTATCATTCTCACTGTCCGAGTCTCTAAATATTTGCTCAAATTGTGGCATGTCTTCTTCTGATCTATAATCGCCCAATATTCTCACCTAAAGACACATTCAAATTTTATAGAATCACTAATTTTTAAAAACACATTATGATGTACTACATACCTGCGAATCACTGTAAGCATTACAGAGATCGAGTGGACGATGAGAATCGCAGATAAAAAAGACAATGTTGTCGTCAGGCTGAAGAAGATCAACAAGATCAATGCAACCACCACAGTTTATAAATAGAAATATGTTACAGTCTTCCTTGTTCTCATCAAATGTCCTCTTCAGTCCCTTAATACCCAGTATTGGAGCAACTGAGAATATTATATTTTCGTTCCTAAACAACGTCTGAAGAATTTTTGACGACACAATTGCATCAATATCGACATTACAGATTACAATTACTCGTTTTCCTGGCAGCAAATTGAAGAAGTCATTCTTTAGATCCGATACAAACATCTTGAGCTATTAGACAAGTGTCTTAAAATACATAATAATGCTTAAATTAATGACAAAACGAATTAAAAACTTTTTGTACAATTTTTCTTCTAGTTTTGGCGGTTAAATAAAGGCGGAGACGCTTCAACTTAGTGCCTAGTATATTTTGTCAAACATCATGTATCCTTAGAGCACTTAATAATTTTGTTATTTGCAGCACAACTTGACTTATTGACTTACCAGCTTAAAAAAACCATGTGAAATTTAACGGCTTTTCAGATTTTAAATTTCATTTTCCAATTTTTTCTTCAAGATAATTTTTGAAATTAAAATTATTGAAATTCATTTTAATTAATTCGTCATTATAACATCAAAAATAAATAGTTCTGGTGCTTGCAACATATAGTTAAACAAAGTTTCTTTACATTTATGTAGTTAATAATAGTGTTAATGTGTGTTTGAGTGACTTTTTGAATGAAATTTAATTTTATAAAAAATCTTTACAAAAAAAAACAAGATTTAAGCGTAAAACATTTCAAAAACAACGAAACCGTTAGAAAATAAACAAAATAGTTGAGCATGTTAAGGCATGATATTTCAAGTGTCAAAGCATTGAGCAGTTATTCCTTCCCCTGACTAGTTTTCCATGAGAAAAATTCTAAATCAGCTAATTCTTGTCCTCACTTTTCGTTTTCATTCTAAAGTTAAGGGAAAATGAATTAATCAAAGAAAAAAAATATTTTATAATCAATCTTGTCCGGAAAGACATCTCGAATTAAAAGGACTAATCATCCAGTGAATTAGTGCTTCGCACAAACAAGTGGATTAAAATCAAATTGTAAACATTAAAAATAGTTAAAATATGAATTTCGACGATTATGAGGAACTGCCTGGTGCAAAACTTAGTGTGACACTATTTGCAGGAGCTTCTGCCGGAATTATGGAGCATATCGTGATGTATCCAGTGGATACAGTAAAAGTATGTGACTTTTATTATTAACCAATCATATAGGATATAAGATCAATTGAATAACTTCCGATAAATAAGAAGAGGAAAATTTTGTGTATGAACAGAACGAAAAGAGTGAAGAAAAAAAAACGTGAAATTAGATGGAAAGAGAATCTAATATTATATAAACACACAAGTTTCTACTTTATATGTCCCTGAAAAACCTGAATAAAAGCCGAAATCGCAAGATTATGGATGTTCTTAAGAAAATCATCAAAATTTGATTCTCGGCGAAATATCAACATTCATTTTCAATGACCCTAATCTTTCGCTAATCAAGAATTTTGTTTATATATTTTCACAATTTATATGTACATAAAGAGACAGTCGAGCAGGTTTAATTTTACTTCTTTCTTCTTAATTTTTTGATAACACGCAAATCTTCGCAATATTATGTGTTTTTTGTTATTTAATCAAACCCATCCGTTCAATTGATGATAATATTCCTTGTGTCATGGCAGTTGCTTTGAACTTGACAAATAATTTAATTCTGCTCAATTGAAAGATTGGGCGATTGCCTTCACTGGATTTCGTTACTGGATCCACAAAATGTATTATAAGACAAATCCCATAGCTAGATATTCATCATGACAATTACGATAGGAATGCCTCATAACTGATAAGAGGAGATATATTTGAACGTGATTGATACGGAACGTAACTAGTTAAGCAGTTCAAAAGTACTTTTCTTATAAGTGTTTCTTTAATTTCAAGATAACACATTGCTATGTTTATGCCGTTCAACGAGAAGTGACATTTTTGCGTATTTATTTTTGCTTGCGAAAAGAAAATGCGAGTTTTTCTCTTTTCGGTTTTGTTTGTTGAATCGATTCGTAACTGCAAAGTGTTGTACATATTCTTGACCTACCCCAAGTCATTGAAATTATCGCAATTACATAAAATATAGATATTTTTCACATGCAATATGTTATATATTTGGAATATTTTGTCGATATTCTAAAATAGCATCGGATATGAACAAAACCACCGGATTTTTATTTATCATCAATATTTATTTGATTACGATATTCTTACAGACGAGAATGCAGAGCTTATCACACACAACCAACTCAATCAGTGGGGTTTTGCGGGAAATGATAAAGCAAGAGGGATTATTTCGGTAATTTACATGCACCGCATTTGACTTAAATTATCTTATGACGTTCGATATACGTTGTAATAATGAATGCAAATGAAGTCATGAGCAATTAATTGCTTTAATTGATTTTTAAAATTATTTGTTCACAATTACTTTTCATTTACGTCTACATTTTTCTTCTCGATAGGCCCCTGCGTGGTGCTACTGCTGTCGTTATTGGAGCTGGACCTGCTCATGCATTATATTTCAGCTCGTATGAATTCACAAAGGAGAAACTTGCAAAATTAAAAATTAATGATAACATCAATTATAGTAAGAACTTTTTTTTATGGATTTAATTCAATTATCACGAGACTTCTTAAAAATTTGTTACGGAAGTGAATTGTTATCGCATATTTATGTCATGTTTTATCTGTAAATCCAAGTAATAAGTTTTCGTTTTACTATGTTTTACTAATGGTAGGGGCGGATCCTTAAAAATTTGGGGATATAGGAGACTTAAAAAATTCACCAATATTAGATAAGCCACTGTCTTTAATTTTGAATAGCGAACATGTTCCAAAGCTGAAAAATGCTCTGCCAAAAAATACGAGCAATTTTAAAATTCAGCTAGTCACGCTGATAAAAAAACCCATTAATTATTTATTTTACTATTAAAAAATCAATTTCTATTTCACAGTCATTAGTGCAACATCAGCGACTGTTATTCATGATGCAATATCAAATCCAACAGAGGTGATAAAGCAAAGATTACAGATGTATGACTCGCCGTACAAGTCTGTAATGGAATGCGCCAGAAAAGTTTTTCATCAGGAAGGTTTCGGTGCTTTTTATCGCTCATATACAACTCAACTTGTGATGAATCTGCCTTATCAAGCCATTCACTTTTCAACGTACGAATTTCTTCAAGAATATGTAAGTAAAATAAAAATGAAGAAGAAATTGTCTTGTCTCTCGCCACGACTACAATTTTAATCTACAATTATTAAATTGTTTTGTCACATTTTTTTATTACAGTTTAATAAGGAACGAAGATATTCTCCAATGGTGCACGTAGTAGCTGGTGGTGCAGCCGGTGCTGGTAAGCATTTATGACAGTAATAAAAAAATAATATTATTTACATTAATTTGAATGAATTTTTATAGCTGCGGCTGCATTTACTACACCACTTGATGTGTGTAAGACACTTTTGAATACACAGGAACAAGGTGTCGGATCAACGAAAGGACTTTTCGAAGCAATTCGCAAAGTATACCGAGTTGCCGGTATCGGTGGATTTTTCAAAGGGCTTCAAGCGCGCGTTTTATATCAGATGCCTGCAACAGCTGTATGCTGGTCAACATACGAATTCTTTAAATATCTCCTCTATACGAATAAAAGAAAATCTGTATCATTAGCTTCACCTGTAGTGGCAGCTCCTGCCTCCCCATCATTAACATATGAAGACAATAAACTTTCGAAACCTTTACACCATTTTCATGCAATGAATAAAGAACCAACAGCAACTGTGTCGCCCAGCCACTATCCCAGAGAATTACCTGCTATGTCGTCTGTTGGTCTAGTATACGCACATCATACTATGCATGACTATAATCCAGCTTCATCCCAACTGACAGATTTTACAAGGAGCACATAAAAACTTACGTCGCAAAAAAAAAACCAGCTACGTAGCTTTTTATCTCAAATCATTTTTATTTTCACTCCTTTCTCCTTTTAATTTCTCTTAATTCGTTGACATTTTTCCGAAATCCTATTTTTTTAATAAGAAAAAAATATTAAGGATATTTTTTTAAATTAAATAACTAGAAAAGCTGTTGAAAAGAGATCCTGCATCAAAAAAAAAAAAAGATTTGATGTAACTAGAACACGCTTTTGTTGCCAAAAAGAAAAAAAATTAAGGTTTTGTGCATAGAAAATCAAATAAGTTAGCTGTGACAACAAAAAAAATGATGATGAGGATGTTGACTAATGATGATTGTAATCCAAATCAATTTTTCAATCAATTTTTTTTCTCCTTTCAAGGGATATAGTATGAATGAGATAAAAGCATAGTTTATGTCAATTAACCGAAAAGGAACGGACGGCAATGAAAGAGAAATTATCAGAATCTTTTTATTGCTTTTGGTAGCAAAGAACAAAGTTTTTATGACGAATTTCACTCACGATAAAAGTACAATGTTGTTCCTAGCATTCAAGTCAAAGATACTTAATGGGTAGGATCGAAACTGTATAGAAAATTTATGTTCCTTTACATAAGAATTAATTTGATGACAATTTTCAAGTGAAAGTAGTGTCCTCAACTTTAATTGTAGATAATTAAAATATTTTTTTTAAAAGCCATTATTTGAGACAATTTGAAGATCCCATTTAGATGGTTGCTCATTGTTAGATTATCTCCTTTTTTTAACTTTTATTAGTGCTGTGTATAAAGATGTTTGCTTTATAATCAATTCGAATCAGATGAAAATGAGGAATAGCGACTCTTCATTTCTATAAAAAAAGATTGGTATGTCTACCAATCTTAAAATAATCATAAATCGTGATATGAACACTAAAAGTACACACGCTTATTCCTCATTTACATTTTTGTTTGTCTGGACACTATTTTTTTCATCTTGAAAGATTCTCATCATGTGTAAAAAAAAAACTGTCTTAATTGTTATTAGTTCCTTTTCACTTTGAAAGATCAAGATGCAGAAAAGTTTCACATTTTAATCCACGTTTATTTTTTCTTTGCTTGAATATAAAAAAATTATCTGAAAAACATATAAGAAACCATTATATAATCCAACACGCGAAACAGAAGTAAGAAGAAGATATTATTTTATGGTCGAGACAGAAGAAGTAAATATAAAACTTTAGAATGAAAACGAAAAGAAATAAGAATTTATAATTTCTGTTGAATAAAGACCCACTTGCATGTATACACTAATATCCACAATGTTAAAAGCAGTGATAAAAGTTGTTCAAGGCTGATTTGCCGGTAATTTTATGCAAAATATTCTTGTCAACTTTTATATTTAACTCCATAAAATTGGGTAACATCAGAAGCAATGCATTCTTGCAGCTATTTTTCAATCAATGGTGAATTTTCAGCAAGAACATCACCTGAATTCAGATCTTTTACTAAAGATTGTCACCTATTCATTATGTCCTCCTGTATAACAAAGTTCAAGTGTAGACTTTAATATCCTTAAAAGGCTATAATTTTAAGTATCTTGTAAAATAGGACCGTCAAGTTCTAATAAGATATGTCTTAGAGTGTTCACTAGATCAACCATAGAATCAGTCTCTACAGAATGTTAATCAGTCTTGAGCAGCTTTGTCAAAATATTAGAAAATTTAATCTTTTTCCTTTCATTTTTTGTAAAAATCGAAATTTTATGCATTGATCTTCAGTGAAGGATAATGTGTAAATAAGATTTGATTAGTTTTTAATGATAGTAAATTTAAGGTTGAAAAAAATAAAAGTAAATAAAGAATAAATATAAAATCAACAATAGATGATCATGTTACTCTAAAAATTGAACTATTTTCTGCAGATGAATATATATTACCTAAAAATTAAAATCAAACAATGAAAAAAGTTGAAAATAATAAAGAAGTAACTTGAACTCAAAAATAATTAAACAAACTAGCTATTAATAACTTTAGATCAGTTTCTGTTTTTATCTCAATGCCATATTCTTTTGTTTTCAGTACTGTAATCATTCTAATTGCCTCATTAATCTATGCAAGAATGGAACAATTTCATAATGCTCCCAAACTTTGAAATTGTATAGCAGACATCAGGGGCGTAGCAAGAAATTTTTAAGGGGGGGGGGTCATTTGCGAAAATAAAAAAAACCGTTATTTTGTATCCTTAAATCTATATTCATTGTTCATAAGTTTAAGTATTTAATTCATTATTCATACATTAAATTTAATTTTTCGTGCTGATTTTGACATTTCTTTCATCACTTCCTCTACATTAACTGGTTCTTCTCTATAAATACTTAATAAAACAATTATCAGATTTTCGTAGGGGGGGCCCGGGCCCCCTATGCTCCCCCCCCTGGCTACGCCCCTGGCAGACATCATTTATGAACGGCTCAAAGCTATTATATTATCTCAAATTATGAATATAAACATTTCTAGGTAAACTAAATTATTTAATCAGAAAATGGATAATTGTATCGATAATTATGAGTATGAACGTTTCGATATTATACACTGTCAATCATGCATAGTTAAGTCAGGTGTGACAAAAAGCTCAAGTTATGTTAGAGAATGTATTCATACTATGGGCATTTTTGAAACCAAGAAAGCTTTAAGAATTAACAAGCTTGATGTAACCCCTGACATGATTACTTTAGCAGTCAATTCCACGCACAATGAGTAATTAATGTTTCAAGACTATTTATTTATCACGAAAGAAAGTCGTCCTCAATGTCAAGTCGATTAGTAGCAAATTGTTATGCCTTATAAAAATAAAAGTTTCAATTTAGTATTGAAATGTTTTCAAAACAACAGTAATTAGTCATGTAAAACATCATTCTTGATCTTAATAGATTAGTCATCAATTCATGCAGCTGCAATTTTCAACTGAAAAAAAACCACCAGGCTGTAAATTTCTATTTTACGGACAGTAGTACTTTTTTTTTCTTGGAAATAATAAAAATTTTGCATCGTCAGGACTACAAATATAGATAAGTATGAAGTAGCTATCAATGAGTAGATACAAATATTTGTCATTGCATCATCTGATGACGTCATTTTTCAAAAACGAACAATGGATTTCCAGAAATTTCTATTGTTCTTTTCTGTCAGACCCCCCCCCCCCCCCCTCTTAAACGTCATAAGTGAACGACCCCCTTTTGTACACGACAAATTTTAAGGAGCAAACTTTTTTAAAATAAAATCATATCTCATTATTTCTATATCTATTTTAATGTCACTGTCCATCATGTTATTTATGTTATTCACGTGCACATGTGCATTTCTCGTGTATTTAGGAGCTTGACCTTGACAAACGACTACACAACTGCAATGAATAATTCATGAACAGAAGAAGTTTGCGTGTTTGTGAGTATAAAATGACTCGTGGCTTTTATGGCATTGATAACACATTCTATTGATGCACAAATATAATAATTACCGCCGAGTGTATTATACTGACAAAGCAGCAACTATTTATTTGAATGTTCAAAACATGGAGTCAACTCGGTAATTTTTTTTGTATGAAGAAGTCGACTCTAAGTTGAATCGGCAAATATGAAGTCTCGAATTAACTCGAGTTGAGTCGACTAGAAAAAACCCGAACTTCGAGCTCTGGTTCGAAATTTAAATGGCAGATCTATAAGTGGAAACATATCTGATGTAGCGATTATCAAATTTGAGTCTGAAACTTCTATCTTTACAGTTTGAACACTTAAAGATGCGTGACTACTTAATTCAATAATTAAACCCATTAAACCTAAATTTAGATATAGTTTTGGAAGATGTATTGCTTTGATTAATATACTGAGTAAGTGAAATTTGGTTCGATATTTTTTAATTAACTTTATTGTGAACCTTATTAAAAATTAAAGCAAATACCATTATTGGGGTAGTCTTATGAATACAATTTTTTAAAATGATAATCTTGAACATTGACGTTGCTCACGTAATTCTTATCAGATAAGTAGATAAATATAAATGATAAAGTTTGAGTCATTCTATCATCAACTGTAATCTTTATCTCAAAAAAATTAAAATCTTTTGTTACACGTAGCTGGAGAAAATTTGTAATGTTTATGGCACATTCTCTCTTATCGTTCACTTGTTCATGAAGCTATTTATTAAGAGGTTTCCATTTATCACAAGAAAAGACCGACAATATGATAAGGTTTAGATTTAGAATGAATTAATTTTCCATATATGGATGAATTGATAAGCTCAAAGGTTCCGAACCCACGATTTTTTTTTATCACGTGTAAATAGAATGATCTTCAAAGTTATTTAATAGTTAATCTATATACGTGTTCGGTATGTATTACTTTTGATTGCTTTTACTTTACAACGTATCCGTAGATTTATGTTACATCATTTAATGACCTCATTCTATATTGAGATTTCCTTGATATTTTTTTCTATTTCTCAAAATACAATTTTATGTGCTTTATTAAAATTATATTAAATTACATAAAATATGAAAACTCCTAAAATATCCTTCATGATGACTATATTCAGCCATCATTAATGTCGTTTATGACATTTTCATGTAATCGAGTAGCAGACCTTCATCAGCGAATTTAAGGTCAATTCTGATATCGATTGACAAAGCCACGTTTATTTATTATTTATTAACAATTTTCATAACTTTTACACATTCAATATTGATTTTACATGCAGATATGATTAATGTACATTAACTATAGACAGCTGTAATGTCGGAACATAAAAATTTCATAAATTCCTGTTGATTTTTTGTGAAAAGCAACAAAACATTCGTTATAATTTACATGATTTACTACTTTTTATCTCTTCATCATTTTCTCATATAAATTAAATTTTTATGACTTTATGCATAAACTTGTGGATTATGGGAGCTCACAAGGAATGAATAAATTTTCCTTATCACATTCTTTACGTTTTATAAAAGAAAAGAACAGATTT